TACCCCTGAGTTCAATCCCAGGTTAAAAAAAAAAAAAAAAAAAACACAGAGAGAACTCTTCCGAAAGAAGAATAATATCCAGAATATATAAAGAACTCAAAAATTTTAACACTAAAAACCCAGTGGGGGGGCTGGGGTTGTGGCTCAGTGGTAGAGCACTTGCCTAGCATGTGTGAGGCACTGGGTTCAATTCTCAGCACTGCATATAAATCAACAAAATGAAGTCCACTCACAATTTAAAAAAACACCCAATGGGCAAATGAACAGCCATTTCTCAAAAGAAAAGATACCAAAGGACAACAAAAATATGAAAAAATGTTCAACACTGTTAGCAATTAGGAAAATGCAAATCAAAATTTACTGAGATTTCATCTCATACCAGTCAGATGGCAGTCATCAAGAATACAAATAATGATAAATGCTGGAGAGGATGTGGAGAAAAAGGAACATTTTTATGCTGTTGGTGGGACTGTAAATTAGTATAACCACTATGGAAATCAATACGGAAGCTCCTCAAAAGACTAGGCATGGAGGGGGGCCGGGGGTTTGGCTCAGTGGTAGGGCACTTGCCTAATATGCTCCAAGTCCTGGGTTCAGTCCCCAGCACTGCAAAAAAAAAAAAAAAAAAAAAGACTAGGCATGGAACTACCATAGGACTCAGCTATACCATTCCTCAGTTTTATCCTAAAGAATTAAAGTCATTCTACAGTGATACATGCATACCCAAGTTTATAGCAGCACAATTAACAATAGTCAATCTTTGGAACCCAACTTGGTAACTGTCAGTAGATAAATAGATTTAAAAATGTGTTATATATACATAATGGAGTTTTATTCAGCTATAAAGAAAAATAAAATTGTCATTTGCAGGAAAATGGATGGAGCCAGAGAACATTATATTAAATGAAATAAGTCTAATTCAGAAGGTCAAAGGTAGTGAAGCTAGAGAGGAAAAAGGAAAAGAAAGGTGGTAGTGGTGGTGGTGGTGGTGGTGGTGGTGGTGGTGTGGGGGGGAATCTTGTGAACATCAAAGGGACATCAGTAGAGAAAAGGGACTACACAGAGGGAAATGGGAGGGAAAAGGGAAATACTAGGGAATAATATTGGTCAAATTATATTGTTATGTTGTGTGCACGTACAAATATGTAACAACAAATCCCACTATTATGTAAACTATAATGCATCAATAAAAAATATGGGAAGGGGGGCTGGGGATTTAGCTTCGTGGTAAAGTGCCCCTGGTTCAATCTCCAGTATCCCCCCCCCACCAAAAAAAAAATAAGAATGCTGGCTCAGGCTAGGGCCCAATAAGGGGGTCCAAAGCAAACACCACCTCAGACAACCACATCCAGAGCTGTGGAAAATGGGAATGCTAATGTCACCTCCCAGGGAAACTTTTCTTTTCATTACTGGGGATTGAAGCCAGGGCCTCACACATGCTAGGTAAGTGTTCTACCACTGAGCTGCAGCCCAGCGCCTCCACAGCACCTTGGGAAGGTTTTGCCATTGCTCAAGTGTTCATCACTGTTATGGTTTGGGTGTGAGGTTTCCACCCTAAAGCTCTTGTGTCTCTGCAGGAATAGTCAGAGGTGAAGAGATTGAATTATGAGAACTGTAATCTAACCAGTCCGTCCTAGTTTGAATGAACTGACTGGGTGGTAACTGCAGGCAGGTGGAGCATGGCTGGAGGCAGTGGTCACTGGACCCTTGCCCTGGAAGAGTGCACTGGCCTGTGATTCCTTCCGCTCTCTCTCCTTCCTTGCTGCCATTAGGGAGCAGCTTCCCTCTGCCATGCTCTCCCGCTATGATGTCCTGCCTCACCTGGGGCCCAGAGTAATGGAGCTGACCATCCATGGAGTAAGACCTCTGACACTGTGAACCAAAATATACATTTCCTCGTCCATGTTGTTATTTTGGTCACAGCGATGACTAAAACAATTATTATTAGACCCTGACTTGCTAAAACTCCAACATGTCTTCAACACATTTATGCAACAATATAAAATACCCCCAAAACAATTGAAATATAAATGCATTTCAATCTGTGTGACACACTGCAGGTGCTCTGGTTGTTGGAAAACAGAACAAGGAGTTCTGAAATAAACAAGCAACAGCATGTTGGACCCACAACTTTATGAAAGCAGCATTATACAGAACAGTCTTAATAATAGCTCACAGCATCCTTCATCTTCCCCTGTGGCTGGCCACCAGGGATTATCATTACAGATGAGAAAACCAAGGCCTCAGCCCGGCAGGCGGGGGCCGCTCAGGCTGCTTGTCTACCACATGTAGAAACCCAGTCAGGGAGGAACCTGGGAACCTGCAGTTCTGGAAAGGCTCACTAGGGGGAGCTAGTGCACAGCCACCAAGGGCAAGCTGGGTTTCCCCAGCAACCAGTTGGAGGTCAGAGGACACCCAGGCTGAGCTGGGAGCCTCCAGTATTGTTTTTGATTTTTTTTTTGGGGGGGGGTTTTTTTTTTTTTTTTTTTGGATTGAACCCAGGGTGCTCCACCACTGAGTCATATACCCAACCCTTGTTATTCTTTCCTTTGAGACAGGGTCTCACTAAGTAGCCCAGACTAGCTTGAACTCACAGATCTCCTACCTCAGGCTCCTGAGTTACTGGGTTATAGACACCACCACTCTGCCAGGCTGGGAAGCCCAGGCTTTCTAATCCAGAAGTCTCAAATGGGGCAGTAGCATCTGGCAATGACTGGAGGACAGACATTTGCTTGTCACAACACAGGGTGCTGCTGGTGTCACTGGGCAGAGGCCGGGGGTGCTGCCTGACCTTCTACAATACACAGGACACAAGCCATAGGAATTACTCAGCCCAAATGTCAATAGTGCTGAGAAGCCTTGCAATCTAACCCTTAATAACAACTTGCAGTGGGGCGCAAGTCCTCGAATCTGGTGGTGTGTTGACCAACAGAGCCAGTCCTTGGACCATGCCTATGGATCCCAGTCGGCTTGCTGCCAAGACACCTTCCCCCCTCCTGGTGTCTGCCCTTGTTTCCCAAGCACTATGTGCTCTGTTTGGGGTGGGTGCTGAGACCAGCAGACTTCTGATTCTCCATTTTTGGCCTGTGCCTCTTGGGGGTGTCCAGTAAGGGCAGCAGAAGACACTGGCACAATCAGCCCAGAGCAAGGGGCTGCCAAGGTGCAGTCCAGGTGGCCCATGGCATCAACACAGCGTTTGGTTTGCCAGCCTCACTGGCTGATGGGTACAGACACTTAGCTAAGCAGCTTGCTCTAGAACCAGCTACCATGGCAACCCCCTTCAATGGGTCGTGTGGTAAGCCATTGCAATGACTTTCCAACGGCAGGGACATTCCTTATCTGTACAAACAGGCCTCTAAGGGCTGCATGGTCAAGTCCAAACCTGTTCACGAGCCCTTTCATGAGCTGAGCAGGTGACCCTGTTCAGGGCTCAGGACATTCAAGAGCTCTAGAAGTCTTCATCCATCAAGGCAGACTGGGGGCAGGCTGCTCTGCAGGCCTGGCACCTCACGTGCTGTGTCCACCTACCTGTGAGCCCCTCTGCCACCCTCGGCAGACTTGCCTCTAGAAGCATTTTTCCTTTTTTTGAGACGAGTCTCACTACTTTGCCCAGGCTCGTCTTGAACTCATTGGCTCAAATAAGCCTCCTGAATCGGCCTTCGGAGTGCTGGGACTCCATGCGTGTGCACTGCTCCTGGCTAGCACTGGTGTCTAAGCCCAAGTTTCTGCTGTGGCTCAGCCTTACCAGCTCTGCTCCATTCCTGTTGGTGTGGGATATCAGCTTCCATAAAACTTCAACCTCTGGTGTCTCCAAATTGAGAGCTCATCTTTTATAGACAGCATTTAGTTAGGTCATGGGGTTTTTTAAATGAATTCTGCCAACCTGCTTTTCATGTGGTAAAAAACACATAACAATATTAAAGAGTGTGATCCCAGGGCACTTGATACAGAGACAGAAGTTATGACTGTCACCGCTCCTTACTTCCAAGACATTTTGTTCCCCTGAAAGAAAATCCTGTCTCCATTAGCAAACCACTCCCTCTCTCCTTTCCAACAGCGCTCACCCCATTTCTGCCTGCGGACATGCCCCCCCTGGCCATTTCATGTAATTGGAATCACGCAGCTCGGGGCCTCTGGGCTGGCTCCCTCCGTTCAGCACATGGCTTGCGGCTTCTCCCAGCACTGCTCTGCCCCTCTTGCCTGACAGGGCCCAGGCTTGGCCAGACTGGACTCTTCCTCCCTCCCACAAACCCAGAGCTCAGGTCCTCATATCCTGCAGGGCCCTGGGCTGGCTGACTTGCTAAGACTTCAGTGCACCTCTTTCCCTGCTCAAGTCAAATCTCAATAAACGGACTGGGCACCTAAAATATGTTGAACTCCGTGCTAAGCACTTCCTGGGCACTCTCATCCAGTGTGAATTCTTGCTACAACCTGGGAGGAAACCATTATCGACGATTACTGACCATGACCAACCCACCCTTTCTGGCTGGCAAGAGGCTGTGCTGCCTTCTGCTCACAAACCCACACTGCCCAGGTTTCTCCCGGCTTCTCCGTCTTGTAACTCTGACCTCAAGTAGGTCACAAAACCACTCTGTGCCACTGTCTTCTGAAAACTAGACTGCCTGCCTCCTGAAGTTACTACAACACTCAAAGGACCTATCAGATGCACAGCATTTAGTCCACCTGGCACATGGTAATTGCCTCACGAAGTTACTGAGACCCTCCACCCACAAAGCAGCCACGCCCACCCCACCAGCCCTGGAAACTGGCCTATTGTGGATATTCTGTATAAATGGAACACTCCAGCATGTGTCTGTTTGTGTCTGGCTCCTTTCCTCAGTACTTGACAAGGATGCAATCTTGGGAGTTTTGATTCTGCTAGACTCCAAGGTCTGGCTCTACCCTCCCTCTGTAAAGGGATGCCCACCATGAAGGAACAGGGAGCGGCATGCTTGGGAGGAGCGCACAGGGGCTGAGAGCTTCTACATCTGGGCTTTTACCTTGGCCATGGCTTCTTCATTGCCCTCCACCATCTTTCGGAGCTTGATGAGATGCCACAGGTCCTCGGCAGGCCGTTTGGTCCCCTGGCTGCCCTCCAGCAGCTGGGCAGTGGAGGGCAGGTCCTGCAGCCCAGCCAGTTGATTCTCTATCCTGTCGAGGCGGGTCACCACACCGTCAAAGACGTTGCTGAGTCGCTTCATAGGGTTGATTGCAGGCTGGGAATCTCCTTCCCCAGGCACAACCACGACCTGCGAGGTCTGGAGGAAGTCCTCATCCCCCGAGAGTTCCTTCTTGAGCTCAGCTATTTGAATGTGCTCCAGAATGCCCTTGATCAGGAGGTGCAGGGCCCTGAAATTCACCACCCCGCACTGTGGTATGGCAATGTTGGTCAGTTCCATGAATGTGAGTGAGAAGCTCATCTTGCCGGGCTGGGTTGGTGCGGCTAGGCTTCTTGGAATCCTTGGGGACAAGTGGTGGCTTCCTGTGGTCAAAGAGCTGCACAAGCAGGTCTTCAGAGGCTCGGAAGGCAGAGAGTCACAGTGGTCAGGGAAGAATGGCCTCTGTCCTGGCCAGAGATCAGATCTGATTTTCTGGTTGCTAGGACACCAGAGAACATGGTCAAGTGGGCATGCTTCCGAGAGCCAGGAGCAGGTGGTGCTCCTGGGTGAGCCACGCCCAAATAGGAACTCCATTAATATTTAATGACTACCTGAATAGTGAACAGGCAGCCCTTCATTCCCGCCCTCTGCTTGTGTAAGGCTGATGACCCTTTCCAAGAGGTATGCAGGGAAGTGAGGGAGCATGCATCTCAGAAGTCTCTAGAATCAGAAGACAGATTTCTTGGAGTCAGGAAGGCCTAGGTTTTAAGAAAAGAGGACATAGAGAAAAGAGTCTGAAGAACTAAGCTGGTTTCTTGGCAGGGCCAAACACACACCTAGCTGCTCCAGTTTCTGGAAGGGGAGAGCAGGGAGGTGAGTGGGCGTCATTTGGTCTGTCCTGCATGTCCCTGTCTTCCTGGATGATATCGCCCTTGCTGAACCCTGCTCTGCTCCCCACATGAGCTGGGGCTCAGTAAGACCCCAGTTCTAATCAGGATCTCAGTCCTGCTCTGAGTCTGAAGGCATGGCTAGGAGCCAGTGGCTGCAGGGTGAGGAGGCTTTGTTGGGTCCTGTTATAGTCAGGCTCTGCTGGGTCAGTTCTGGGTCCCAACAGCAGTCTGCTTGTCCCCATCTTCTAGTGAAGCCTGCAGGGAAGTTCCTCCATTCAATGCCCCCCTGAACCTCACATTCCTGGTGCACAGCATGCAAGATGACCTGCTCAGGATTCCCACTGGCTAAGGACGACCAACCTTTCTGGCTTCCCTGAAGGAACTCTGGAAAGCAGAGTTTGACTTCCTCAAACACTCCCCAAACCACCTACCATGGACCTGATCCTAACAGCTAGATTAGTCAGTGTTCTCCAGAGACAGAACCAACATCATACACTCACACAGACACATGAGAAGGGACGTATCAGGGGAATTGTCATTATGGAGGTTGAGAAGCCCTACTGCAGGCCATATACACACTAGAGACCCTGGGATGTGGTGAGCATGGCTCAGGCTAGGTCCAAAGGCCTCAGAACCAGGGAAAGCAATGGTATAACTCTCAGTACAAGGCCAAAGGCCTGGGGTGGGGGTGTCACCCAGGAGTAAGTCCTCTCTCCTGCCTTTGGGTTCCAGGATGTGCTTGTGTCCAAGGTCAGGAAGGGAAGAATGTGATCAGTGTCTAAGTTACACAAATGGATACTTGGCCTTTTTCCTATATTTTTGTTCTCTGTGGGCCCTGGCAGGTTGGATGGTGCTCACTCGCATCAACGGCAGGTCTCCCCCACCTACCCGGCTCAGGCTCACTCACTAATCTCTGGAAGCATCCTCAGAGATAATGTCTCTTTCTAGCTATTCCTTAATTTATTCAGCCAAGTTGTCCCCTAAAACTGACCATCATATGCCCTCTTATTAACACCTCTAGGATCCCCACTGTGTTATAGGACCTAAAAATTCAAGGGGCTGTGGCTCAGTGGTAGAGTGCTCACCTAGCCTGCACGAAGCCCTGGGTTCGATCCTCAGCACCACATAAATGTAAAATAAAGATATTGTGTCCACCTAAAACTTAAGAATAATATTTTTTTTTAAAAATTCAGGGCTGGCGGATGCTACGGCCTAAACATGGAGGACTGAGGAACTTCCGGATCCTAGAGCCTAAACATGGACATGCACCTGAGGAACTTCCGGATCCAGGGGCCTAAACATGGATGCCTGAGGAACTTCCAGATCCTAGAGCCTCAACATGGATGTGCACCAAAGGAACTTCCAGATCCTAGAGCCTCAACATGGACGTGCACCAAAGGAACTTCCAGATCCTAAACATGTACGTGTGCCTGAGGAACTTCCAGATGCTATGGCCTAAACATGGAGGACTGAGGAACTTCCGGATCCTGGGGCCTAAACATGGACACCTGAGGCACTTCCGGATCCTAGAGCCTAACATGGATGCCTAAGGAACTTCCGGACCCCGGGGGCTTAAACATGAACGTGAACCCAGTGAACTTCCTGATCCTAGGGCTTAAACATGGACGTGTGCCTGAGGAACTTCTGGATCCAGGGGCCTAAACATGGATGCCTGAGGAACTTCTGGATCCTAGAGTCTCAACATGGACATGCACCAAAGGAACTTCCGGATCCTAGAGCCTAAACTTGGACGTGCAACTGAGGAACTTCCAGATCCAGGGGCCTAAACATGGACGTGCGCCTGAGGAACTTCAGGATGCTACGTCCTAAACATGGAGGACTGAGGAACTTACGGATCCGAGAGCCCAAAGATTGATGTGCACCTGAGGAATTTCTTGATCTGGGGGCCTAAACATGGACGCCTAAGGCACTTCTGGATCCCAGAGCCTAAACATGGATGCCTGAGGAATTTCTGGATCTGGGGGCTTAAACATGGACATGCACCAAGGAACTTCCGGATCCAGGGGCCTAAACATGGACACTCTAGGCACTTCTGGATCGGAGGGCCTAAACATGGACGTGTCTCTGGAACTTCTGGGTCCTTGTGCCTATAAAGGGTAGGGCTTGACTCTCAAAAGGGATGTGGTCCACGAAGAGGAGCGGAGTATGGGGCCTGTTGGGGGGCAGATTAAGCTGTCGCACCCTGAACTTGAATGTGATGGTGGCCTCCCTTCCTGGCCTTCCCCTGGATGTCACTTCCTCCCCTTCCAGGAGGTGCCGGGGAAGAAGTGAGACCAGGCGCAGGGGCCAGGCCCTGAGGAGGGACACCGTTTTTCTCCTCACTTAGCCAGGCACCCGGCCTGGCTGGGGACAGGGACGTCTTGTGACACTGGCTGCCTCCTGCATCCCTGCCCCAGGACCTCAGGGACCACAGGTGGGGACAGTCGTTGATTCTCCCCTGGCCACTGACCCTTAGTCCCGGGGTCTGCCCAGGGAGAGTTCAGTCTCCCAGAGGGTCAGGAGGTCCCTGTGACCTGCTGTTCCTTACCCACCATCATCCTGGGCGAGCACAGGTCAGGACACCAGACGCTACTGAGAGTGACATCTTCTAGATGGGCGGCTGGGGACTTTGCCTCTGTCCCGGGGCCTCAGACACTGGATGATCCCCCACAGAGATAGAAAATAACCCCAAACTGCCCAAGACTTATTTTTAAGCTTTGGATTCTGAAATTTTCCTGCTGCCACCTTCTTTGTGAAGCCAGTTTTTCAACAGAGACAGTATTTGGGGTCGGGGGGAGGACAACAACATGGAGTTAATCAAACCAAGCTGGCACATCTGGTCCTCCAAGAAAAATCTGGATTGGAGGAAGAACAGCCATTCTCAATTGGCGAAATAGTGAAGTTCCCTTGTCTTTTTTTGTGTAAGAAAAATAAATAATCTGATGTTAACTCATCAAATTATTTTTGATGAGTGCTTGGCTCATAGGAAAACTGATTCTGTTTTATGGAATGAAGTGTTACCTGATTTTAAAATTAAAAATGAAGCCAATTAGGATTGTTAAAAAAAAAAAAAAATTCAGGGCTGCAGTTGTGGCTTAGCGGCAAAGCACTCGCCTAGCACGTGCAGGGGCCCTAGGTTCGAATAAAGGTATTGTGTACAACTACAACTAAAAAATAAATATTAAAAAAAATTCAAGTGACATGTTTGGGTCACACCAGGCCCTTGAGTTCTCCTGCTCTTGACAGATACGCCTCACCTGGTGAGGAAGGCTCCCGCCTGGCTAGCTCCTCCAGCACCCAGAGCAGTGGCACCCTCCTGGTCCTTACCTTGGGGGTGTCACCTCCCTGCCAGGCCTCAGAAATATTCAAACCAACCAATCATACCTTCCTGAGGGAACTATGGGCACCCAACCTCTTCGTCATTACAAAGCCCACACTTCCCACAAGCCCTGCTGGTTCCCTCTGCTCCCCAGTGGATCCCGACTGGGACCTGCAGTGTCCTTCACTGGACTAATGAACTGTCAGTCACACCTGTCCAGGGTCAGTGTTGGGTATCTGGCTGTCTGGTACTATTGAGGGCGGGTTTCCCTCCCTCCAGAACAGGTAGGCAGAGGTGATCAGAACACTCTCACGGTGTGCTTCCTTGATGCATTGGGTCAATAAATGTAAATTTGTCCAACCACAGGTGGGCTCCTGGTGGTTGTGGCTGAAGGTAACTGAGATGTGATGAAATCAAGGATCTAGAAACTGGAAGGATGCTGGAATATCCAGCTGGGCCCAATGTCACCATAGTGTGTAAAACAGAAAGGAAATGTGAGGGCTCCAGCCCTCCCAACAACGACCCTGCTACCCCATATCCTCTCAGTAGACTTCTTGTCAGCAGAATTGGCTTTTTTATATATATATATATATATTTTTTGATGGACCTTTATTTTTTTTAATTTATTAATTAGCTCATGCTAGGCAAGAGCTCTAACACTGAGCCACAACCCAAGCCCCAGAGTTGGCTTTTGCTGCATCTGACTACAAATTCCAGCTAGTCCAGTGGGGTGGGAACACACCCCTGCTCAGCCTGAGCCACAATGGGCCTGCCTGGAGTCGCCAAGAAGAACCTGCAGGTGCTCTCCTGACATTCTGGAGTAGCCATGAGGACTAGTTCACAGCCCTGGAAGGTTCAAGTCTTCCCATTCATTTTCGCACATTGTCCTACTTCAGTTCAGAGATTCTTGAATGTGCAGATCAATGTGGTGCTCAAAAGAAAAAAACTATGTGTGTGTGTGTGTGTGTGTGTGTTTAGTTGTAGGTGGACACATACCTTTATTTTTATTATTTATTTATTTTGGTGCCGGGATCAAACACGGTGCCTCATGCATGCTCGGCAAGCGCTCTACCACTGAGCCACAACCCCAGCCCCATTATGGTGATTTTCTTAAAAATAATTTTGGGAAGTTTTCAGTTCCTTCCTTCCTTCCTTCCTTCCTTCCTTTCATCGGGGATTGCATTCAGGGGCACTTGACCACTGAGCCACATCCCCAGCCCTATTTTGTATTTTTATTTAGAGACAGGGTCTCACCGAGTTGCTTAGCACTTCATTTTTGCCGCGGCTACCTTTGAACTCGTGTTTTTCCCATCTCAGCCTCCTGGGCTGCTGGGATTCCAGGCATGCACCACTGTGCGCAGCAGGATCCATTAATCTAAATTCATTCTATTTTCCCTCTCTTCTTTGGGTTGCAAAATCCCTATCAATCTAACTTCATACTTGCCAATTCTTTCTTCTACTACTCCACCCTTGTTTTATAGATGAGGAAATTTAAAAATTTAAGTAATTTACTGAGGTTCATATGGTGAAGAAGTAGCAGGGCTAGGACTTGGACTCAAAGTCTCAGCTGTCACCCTGCCAATCATTCTCTCAATCATCATTCATTGCATAAACATGTACTGAGGGTTGACCAGCGCCAGAAACTGTTCTAAAGGCTAGGGAAAATCAGAATTCCTGCCCTCACCAAGGAGAGATACAGCAAATAGGTGAAAACGTAAATAAAGACCCACGGGTGATGGTAAGTGCTGTGAAGATAACCAAGTGGACAATGAGACAGTGGCCATGCTGCAAATGCTCAGGGAGCCCCCTCTGTGGAGGGGACGCCTGGGTTGAGGTCTGAAGGGAGGGTGTTTCTGGGGCTCATTCAGGGTAGAGACCTTTCTCTACTTTCTAGTAGTAGAAAGTAGTACACACAGCCCAGCCCAGCACATAGTAGGTGCTCAGGAAATATTTACTAACTGGATGATAGCTCCAAAGGAGCTGTCAACTCTCACGGGTCATATTAATGATAGAAATGTTATTAAATAAATTTGGTCATTCATGTTTCTGTTAGGAAACCTTACCATTTATTTACATTTGAAGATCCAGAAATGCCAAAGGTTGGCAAGTATATGAAAAGCAGAACCCTCATATGTTCTGGTAGAGTGTAAACGGCAGAGCTGCTCTGGAAAACTTTTTGTCAGGCTCTACAAAATGGAATAAACACATACCTTATGACCCAGCCACCACATCCCTAGATGGGTACCCACAGAAATATTCACATACCATGTGCTGGAGTGTTTGTGACAGACTATTCACAACAGCCTTAAATCCTCACCTAGGACCACCCAGATGCCTGGGAACAGCAAACAGACAACTGGCACATCCACACAATGGATTATTAGACAGCAATGAAAATGCACATTGACAATGGCATGCCACAATAGGGATGACTTTCCCAGCTATGAAATTGGCAGAAGCTGCTATATTCAAATGAGTTCCCACTGCATGAATCCATTGCTGTCAAAAGTACAAAGATGGAGAAAGCTAATCTTTGGTGTGAGAAGTCAGGAGAGTGGTTGTCCTCAGGTGACCTCAAGGCTTGAAAGAGAAAATGAAGCAGAGTTGCTGGGGTATGGTCAGTCTGGAAACTCACCAAACCACACACACTTCTGACAGGAGCACTGTTCTTGTCAAGTCTCAGGAACTGCTACAACTCTACTGTTGACCCCACATGGCAGCTTCCCTGGGGGATTGCTGACTCGACTCTGGTGGGCTCCTTCCCTGTTCTGCACTGGGTATGAAAGGAACTGGCCTGAGTGTGAGACTTCCTCACCCACCCCCATCAACCTGATGCATCATTAGCTTGAACGCCTCAGACAAAATCTTATGCCCATTTTGAGCACTTTCTGGCAAGTATGGAGCCAGGCACTTTGCATAGATGCCTCCTTTCATTCCACGAAGAACCTATATGAAGTTTACCTCTGTAGAGAGGCGGGACCAGCCACGGCAGACCCCAGGTGTGCCTGCTCCTCACCACCCTTGCTGCTCTCCAGGCCAGGGTACGAGGCAGCACACTGAGGCTGGAGGAGTGGCCGCTGGGGCTGCCCTCAGGGTTTGTGTTTTATCTAGGGTGAGGGGAATCTCTGTTTCCTGGTCGCCATGTCACCCTTCCACCACCATGCTCTGCCTCACCCAGGCCCAGAACAACGAAGGTGGCCTTCTACAGAATGACACCTCTGAAACCATGAGCTCGAATAAGCTTTTCCTCCTCTATGTTGTCCTTGTCAGGTCCTTTGGTCACAGTGTTGAAAAAGCTGACTAAAACAAGCGGTCACAGAGGAGACTGAAGGGTGGGGGGTGGGGGGTCTGACTTGGTGCGGGGGCACCAGTGAGTGGGCTTGTGAAACTCACCAGACCTAACACTTGTGTGCACTTTTCCTTGTGGAGTCCCAGCATAACACTCAGGCTTAATTTTAACTTTAGACTAAAGAAGTAAATTAAGAGGGTACCTATCACCCCTGGGACTATTGGGCCAGGAAAGGCAAGGGGAGCCTTGCAGCCAGCAGAGGGCGCTAGTGTCAGGAAGACACAGGGCCTTACTTCCCCACTCCTGGGCCGCTTCTGCACAACCTAGGAGCAGACAGGCAAAGGTGTCTGGGATAGGGGAGGCCAGCCCTGCTGAGGGCAAGGGGCATTTGTCCAGTGGCACCAGGATGAGCTTCAGGTGGCAGGCTACTGAGTGCCAAGGCACCTGTCACTAAAGGTGTGCTGGGCCCTGGCATAATGCTGCCCCAGTTTTAGTACAATCTGGACTAAAAATAAAAGGCAGTTGGCTTTGCAGCACATGCCTGAGGATAGGGGCGAGGCTCCGGTGCCAGGGGAGAAGGCTGATGACGTAAAATAAGCTGTGTTCCGATGTTCTCCAGGAAAAGGTGAGACAAACAGATACATTTTGAGGCTGAAATGATCCCTCAGGGACAGTCATGGGCTCCTGATCTCAGGTACGCACAGGGAGGATTCCAGAGCAAGTGACACAAATACGTGGCCCTATCTTTGTAAGGATATGCTAGCCCTTCCTTTGTTATTTCATTGTGACTGAATTCTTCCTGAATTGTTTTTAGTATGGCTTCATCCCCCTCTTTCTGTTAACAGCTATATTACAACATAATTCACATTTCAGTTCACCTGTTTAGAATGTAGAATGAGATGGCTTTCAGGGTGTGCAGATATATGCACCACCATGACGATCAATTTAAAAAGTTTTTACCAATCTAAAAAGAAAGCCTGCACCTCTTAGACTTACCCCATTTCCCCTGAAGTTCCTGGCCCTAGGTAGCCACTGATCTTTTTGTCTCTATTCTGGACATATGATACAAATGGAATCCAATGACACGTGGCCTTTCTGACCAGCTCCTTGTGTTACCGCTGTTTACTGATGACAAGTCCCTGCTTCCCCGAATGTTGAAGTATAACACCAGAGAAGCATGCCAAGGCAAGTTTAAAGTGGAAAGTAAAAGCTTTATTAAAGCACAGCAGGAAGGGAAGTAGCTAAGGTCTACTTTCAGCTTTCCCACATTCCTGTGGCATTCCTGTCTTTGTTATGTTATCTTGCAGTGGTGGAATGAAGATGGGAAGGCCCAAAGAGTGGGGGACAGGTGGGCTGAAAGAGCATTCTGGGAAGGAAGGGCTTTTGGATTAGCATCTCCATGTTTGCTGGGAGCTGCTTCATTAACATTTCCTTGGGATGGACTCTGGGCCTTGGGGACATTTCAATTTCCCCAAGAGCTGCTCTGGTTTCCTGGACTCCATTTTCTATAATGGCCTCCATTCTTGATTTTACTTGATATTAGACCTGATTTACCTAACTACACTAACTACCTATCTGTAAATCTGGCTTCATTCCCCCCTCTAATTTTGGGAACTCCTTACTGCTGTAAGGAAAGGGGGCGATGACCGTTCTGGCTTCTTCAAGCTGAAAGCGGGCGGTGTTGAGCAGACAGTTTTGGAGGCCCCCTTTTTTAAAAATCGGGTCTATTGAGTGGTCCATGATAGAAGTCTGATTGAGAATAACAGGCTGGAGGGCCATTTGAGTGATGGGTGGTCTATAAGAGGAACAAGAAGTTATTAGTACTGGAACTAGATTAATGCAACAATAAATGCCACAGCATAGAAATATGCCAATGAATATAATGACAACGACAGAGACTAACAATGTTTTCCACCAGGAAATACCAGAAAACCAGGAGCTAAGATATTGTTCCCATGACAAGGTTGGCGAGGACATGGCTTCTATCTGAGCATGTAAATTTTTAAGGATATTTGTCACATTGCCAGAATTGTCAGGGATGTAAACACAACATTCAGATTTAATAATGGCACAAGTACCACCTTGAGCTGCAGTGAGGCCATCTACATCTTTTTTTTTTTTTAATATTTATTTATTTATTTTAATTATCGGCGGGCACAACATCTTTGTTTGTATGTGGTTCTGAGGATCGAACCCGGGCCGCACGCATGCCAGGCGAGCGCGCTACCGCTTGAGCCACATCCCCAGCCCCAGCAGTGAGGCCATCTAAAGCCATCCAGTTTTGTAAGATGGCCTTCCTCATAAGTGTTATTTCAGTGTTAAGGAGAGAGATACTTTCCTCAATATCATGGAGGGAAGTTTGAGTATAATTGTTTAAAGTCTCTACATGCCACATTACATCTTCTAAACCAATTTGTGGGATAAACAGTGAAGCTATATGATCATGCCAATGAAACACAGATCATCCCTATCTATGTTTAAGATTGGGGAGGTTTGCTGGCTGTTGAGCTGGTCCCTTCTTTTGTGTGACCACTCCCAGGGCTATTCCTCCTCTCTCAGTGACAAATAGGTTGAATTTTTGTTCAGTAGGTAAACTGAGGGCAGGGGCTTGGCATAAGGCCCCTTTCAATGCCTTAAAAAATTTAATGTGTTCTGGTTCCCATATCAGGGAAGTTGTTCCTTGGCGTAGTATCTCTCTGAGGAGGCTATCAAGAGGCTTAGCTAATTCCCCATATCCAGGGATCCAATGCCTACAGTATCCAGTTATCCCTAGGAAGCCTCTAAGTTGTCTTATGGTTTGAGGTAGAGGATACTGTCCTATAGGGGTTATTCTTTCTGGCCCTAGTTTGCGGGTTCCTTGAGACAGCTGTAATCCTAAATATTGAACTTGTTTTTGGCACAATTGAGCTTTTTTCTTTGAGACTTTATAACCCTTATCAGCTAAGAAGTTTAAAAGTTCTTTAGTGGCTTCCTGACATTCCTTTTGAGTAGAGGTACACAAAAGTATGTCATCTGCATATTGTAGGACAGTCAGAGATGTTTTATCTCTGAACTCTGTTAAATCCTTAGCTAGGGTTTGGCCAAACAAATGAGGGCTATCTCTGAACCCTTGGGACAATACTGTCCAAGTTAATTGAGATCTGCTTATCTGGTTCCTCAAAGGCAAACAGATATTGTGATTGGGAGTCTAAGGGTATACAGAAAAAGGCATCCTTTAAAAAAACAGTAAACCAAGCAGCAGCTGCTGGAATCTCAGATAACAGAGTGTATGGGTTAGGAACTATAGGGTGGAGAGGAACAACTGCTTTGTTAATTATTCTCAGGTCCTGAACTAGTCTCCATTCCTCATTTGGTTTTTGAATTCCTAAAAGGGATATGTTACATGGGCTTTGGCAGGGCACTAAAAGTTTCTGTCTTTTGAGGTTCTGAATGATCTTCAATAAGCCCTTTTTTGCCTCTGGGCGTAGGGGATATTGTCTCTGATGTGGAAAGACAGAAGGATCTTTTAAGACTATTTAGGTTGGAACTGCACTTTTTGCCCATCCAATTTTGCCTTCAGTAGCCCACACTACAGGGTTTATATTGCATTCTAATAAAGGCAAACATAATGATCCTCGCAGTCCCAAATTCATTGTAATAGATGTCTGAAGTTTTGAAAGTAAGTCTCTTCCTAATAAAGGGGTAGGACATTCTGGGACCATTGGAAATGCATGAGAAAACATCATCCAGTCCCACTCACAACTCAGTGTGTGGGGGGGTAAACTTTCTGGTAATAGGCCATCCAGACACTCCTTGTACCGTTACAGTATTAGAGGAAAGAGGTCCGGGGTAAGAGGTGAGCACTGAATAACTAGCGCCAGTGTCTAAGAGGAAATTGACCTCTGGCCTCCCTACAGAGAAGCGTACCCGGGGCTCACCTGCAGTGATAGGAGTTACGGGAGCCAGAATTGAGGCTGGGCCCCATCAGGCCTGTGTGAAGGAGTCTGGCTTCAAGGACCTACGCCCCTGAGGACAGTCACTCTTCCAGTGATTGCCTTGACATTTAGGGCAGGGCTTTTGGGGTGGCTGCTTGGCTATTGGGCAATCCCGTTTGAAATGTCCTTCCTCTCTGCAATGGAAACAAGTTCCTTTTGTGGATGAGGAGCATTTCATCTTCCTCCTTTTTCACTCTGGGAGCTTACTCCTCTAAGAGCGAACACCAGCGCTTCAGTCCTTTTTCTGTCTCTGCACTCTTTCTCCTTTTCCTCTTGGTCTCTATTATAAAAAATGGAAGTAGCAAGTCAGAGGATGTTATCTAAAGATTGATCAGGGCCATATGCCAATTTTTGTAACTTCCTCCTAATGTCTGGGGCTGACTGATAAATTTGTCCTTTAAAAGTAGTTGGCCCCAGGGCTGGGGATGTGGCTCAAGTGGTAGCGTGTTCAGCTAGTATGCATGAGGCACTGGGTTCGATTCTCAGCACCACATAAAAAATAAAATAAAGATATTATGTCCGCCTTAAAAAAAAAACTAAAAAATAAAACTATTTGGCCCTCTGTGGATTCAGGATCCATGGTGGTGTGTTTTCTCATTGCCTCCCTGAGTTTCTCCATGAAAATAGCAGGGCTTTCCTGGGGTCCCTGAATACTTTCTGAAACTTTAAAATAGTTAATGGGCTTTTTGCTTGATTCTCCTGAGGGCCTCAAGGGCCAACATTTGGAAATGTCTAATTTTCCAAGCATCCTGTTCAGCATTTGGGTCCCAGTCAGGATCATTTCTGGGAACTGCCTGTGCTCCGGATGGATAATTGGGTTTGCTCTTAGTCTTTTCTGCTGGGGCAAGAGCAAGGTGTACGTCATCCCTAAATTCTTCAGCTGCTCTTAGGGCTGCTTCCTTCTCATTGAAAGTCAAAATATGGTTGAGTAATAGCATAATATCTTTCCAGGTGAGGTCAAACACCTGGCATAAGATTTGAAATACCTCAATATATTTATCTGGGTCCTCCGAAAATCTCCCTAAGTCTGTTTTTATTTGCCTTAGGTCTTGAAGGGAGAAGGGGGTATGTACTATGATTAGTCCAAATTCTCCTCCTGGCATCTCCTAGAGAGGTAATATATTTGATCTGTCTATTGGGGCAGATGCAGAGAGGCCAGGATATGGAGGACAGGAGGGCCGCTGTTGCACACCAATATCTGATGGACATTTTGTGGGTCCTCTTGATTCTTTCTCCTCAGTAGGTGATTCTTTAAGATTTTCTCTCTTCATGGCAGATATCATAGCTAAGTCTACTTTACATTGTTGGCATAATTTGGGGTTTTCCCTTAGGGCAAAGAAACCTGGACATATGGCACCTCACACCATTTCCATTCCCTTTTGCAAATTTTTATCAAGCTGTAAAATTGTACTAAAATTGATACTTCCCTCTGGTGGCCAGGATTCTCCATCAGGGAGTTTGTATTGAGGCCAGGCCTGGCAGCAGAAGAAAATGAGGTGCTTTTTCTCGAGTGTCTGTGGGTCAAACTTATCACAATTTTTCAATATGTAGGTGGTGTACCTAGTATATTGGAGAGAGAAGCTCCCACCTGAGTGAGAAGAGAAAAAAAAACAGGACTCAGGTACATGCGCCGGAGAAAACTGTTCTCATTAGGGATGTCTCCCTAAGCTTGAGCTTCCTTATGGTCCAGAAAACCCTCTCTCACCTTGCTTTGCCAAGGGTGTTTCTGGGCCTCTTTGGCAAAGTGCTAGGGTCCCAGTTTGCCCTGTGCCAGAGACCCTGGGAGGATTCAGACTTAAGGGGCTTACTGCTTTCCTCCCTGCCACTAAAAACCCACAGCAAAAGAGAATTGCGCACTCTTCTTGTTGCCTTTTTGCTCTATAGACTAAAGGAATCTCCTGAGGTTAAGGGATATTTACTGGTTGTAAGGCATATAGTGCTTTCTATCGGAGAGACTATAGGAAGAGTTGATTCTAAAAATGCCTCCCTCTAGCAGCTTAAAGAGAACACAGCACATTCTAAACATCAGAGCAGAAATGGGAAATTTTAAAACAGACTAGTGAAAGTTACCTATGTGCATGAGGGGAACCTGGGCACCTTTTACTAATTATCTCATATCTTTCTCAGTCCTACAGTCTGAATTGCTAGCGTTTCTGACCAGGGAAGGAAGGGGAGCATCCAGGAGGGAATGGATGTGGGGTTGGGAGTACTGTGTAGCCCATGTGGAGGCAAACGTAATTGGGGCTTTCCCTCAGTGCCATTCATCTCCCGATCACCCTAGATACCCCTTAGAGCTGTCAGGAGCGGGTTCAAGAGAAAGGAACCCTAGGAATAAGTCTGCGTGTAGCCCAGACAAGAATTCTGCAGTTGTTCCAAACTCCTTCCTCCACCTCCACGCATCCAAGGCAGATGGGATTAGGGACAATTGTTCTCCGGGCCCAGACAGAAAAGTGGGAAGCGGCTTCGGCAGAAACCACCATGCCTGCTCTGTTTGGAACAGGTGATTGAGAGCTGCCTACGCCAGGAAACCTCTCACCTGAGTCTTGAAGAGTGGCGGCTGCACTAATTGTGTTTAAGTAGCCATCGGGTGCCCACATCACTCTCCAGAAAGAAAGAGAGAGGGGCTGAGGCTGTGGCTCAGTGGTAGAGCATTTGCCTAGCATGTGTGAAGCACTGGGTTCAATCCTCAGCACCACATATAAATGAATAAAATAAAGGTCCATATATATAAAAAATATTTTTAAAAAAAGAAAGAGAGAGAGAGAAAGATGCACCTCAGACAGAAGTGGGGAGCATGGAGAGGCACTTACCTTGGTAATAGATCTCGGTGGGATCTCCAATCTGTTACCGCTGTTTACCGGTGATGAGTCCTTGCTTCCCCGAATGTTGAAGTATAACACCAGAGAAGCAAGCCAAGGCAAGTGGAAAGTAGAAGCTTTATTAAAGGACAGCAGAGAAGACTTCTCCTGGAGGAAGAAGGGGACCCAAGAGGTGGAATCCGTGGAAGGGGGAAGTCTTCCCTCTTTTATAGCTAAGGTCTACTTTCGGCTTTCCCGCATTCCTGTCGCACTCTTGCCCTTTTTTCTGTTATCTTGCAGCGATGGAATGAAGATAGGAAGGCCAAAAGGGTAGGGGACAGGTGGGCCAAAGGAGTAATCTGGGCAGGAAGGGCTTTTGGATTAGCATCTCCATGTTTGCTGGGAGCTGCTTCATTAACATTTCCTTGGGATGGGCTCTGGGCCTTGGGGACATTTCAATTTCCCCAAGAGCTGCTCTGGTTTCCTGGACTCCATTTTCTATAATGGCCTCCATTCTTGATTTTACTCAATATTAGACCCGATTTACCTAACTACACTAACTACCTATCTGTAAATCTGGCTTCACTTGCACCTAGCATGATGTTCTCAAGGTCCATTTACAGTGTTGTACTTGTACTGGTGTTTTGTTCCTTCTTATGGCTTAACAACATTCCCTTGTATGGATGGAATACATTTTGTTTATCCATTCATCAAAGAAAACCAGAGCTGCACAATAGTTAAAATGTAAAAACAGATTCTATTCAGGAACTATTACAACAGGGAAAGAGGGAAATAGGTGAACTCTGAATACAACAAGGAAAAGTGGCGATTTATAGCCAAGCAATGGAAAGGGTGCTATTGGAGGACTTGGCTGAGGGAACACTGTTTAGAGGGTAGGTGACTCTCAGCTAACCTAACCTCACAGGAATCTTCTGGAGACAGGCCAGGGTGCTCAGACATCAGCTGGGGAGGGGAGGGTGAGGAGTTTGGCCAGATGGTGAGGGTCCGGGTGGGGGGTGGGGGGTGGGGGGGTGGGATTTACTCAGCAGGATTCTTGCTAAATCTAAAGGTCAAGATCTAGTTGGGAAGAGGATTCAGAGGAGACTGACCAAAGTTGGTCAAGGACACAGTCTGTCATTTGCTTCCACCTTTTTCTTAACAGGGCTGGGGTTGGGTACCAGGGTTTGAACTCAGGGGCACTCAACCACTGAGCCACATCCCCAGTCCTATTTTTTATTTTATTTAGAGATAGGGACTCACTGAGTTGCTTATCGCCTCGCTGTTGCTGAGGCTGGCTTTGAACTCATGATCCTCATGTCTTAACTTCCTGAGCTGCTGGGATTACAAGCATGCAGCCCTGTGCCTGGCTGCTTCCACCTTCTGGCCACTATGATCATGATCATTTGTGCTGTGGTCTCTGTGCACAGGTTTTGTGTGGATGCACGCTCTCGACTCTCACGGGCACGTTCCCAGGAATAGAACTGCTTGGCTGTGTGGTGCCCATGTAGCCTGTGGAGGAACACTGGCCTTTACTTCTGCATACACACTTCAATCATCTCATGTGCTCTTGAAGTTCTGTTAATGTCAGGTTGGAGGCCACAATTCTGCTTTAGGGGTGAAGGACCTGGGGCCCAAACTACTCACAGGATAACAAATAACAACTACCATTTGTACTGAGTGCCAGCTATGTGCCAGGTATCATGGAAAGTGACTTCCTTGCCATTCCTTGCTCAGAGTAGCCCTATGAAACAGGTGTTGTCTGTGCTCAACATACAGTTAGGAATACAGTTAGTGGGGGCTGTGGCTGTGGCTCAGTGGTAGCACACTTGCCTGGCATGTGTGAGGCAATGGATTAGATTCTCAGTACCACCTACAAATAAAGTAAATAAAGATTTATTAACAACTAAAAGAAAAAAAAAAAGAAATACAACTTAGCAAGACCCTGTGTCAAAAAAGGGGCAGGGCTGCAGACATAGCTCAGTAGTACAGCACCCACAAGCACATTAAAAAAAAAAAAATTAAACATCTTGAACAGTGCCATCCAGTGGCATGGACCAGCTCCATCTGACTAAATTTTGGGCTCTCTCTGGTTCTTCTACTTCTTTTTATATAGAACATTCATTGATCTGCAATGATAAAATCTACATTATTAAAAGATAGGTGAGGGCTGGGGCTGGGGCTGTAGCTCATTGGCAGAGTGCTTGCCTCACACGTGTGAGGCACTGGGCTCAATCCTCAGCACCATGTAAAAGTAAACAAATAAAGGCATGCTGTCCATCTACAACTACAAAAAAAAATAAATAATAAAAAGGTGATAAAATTTGAGCTTATATTGAATTTGACAAATTAAATTCTAAAGTATCTAGAATATCACCTAATACCCTACATCAACTGAGAGGGAAAATTATCACATGCTCTTGGCAAAACTATATCTGCAGATGAGGTACAGAGTGTGCAGCACATAGGGAAAAAACCATAGAGAAAATGCAGTTGACTCTCTTGGACGAAACGCTGCTCCTTTCAGTGGAAGAGGTGGTCAAAATCAGGGACTTCTATGCACGTGCAGAATGGCTTCTCCATTTCAAGATGGTGATAAAATACCTAAATCACAGCACCAGCACACCTTTGAGGAAAAGGACACCTTAACCAGAGTAGGTTTGTTGCTTAATCTTTTAGTAATATGTACAATTTTTTTAAGTAATAAAGCAGACTTAAAAGAATAATTTCACTCAAACAATGGCTGTTGTTTTTCTTCTCATCCTCTGGGGCTGGATCTGTTTCAGCATCATAGGGAGCCTTTTCTTTCCTTTTTTTTTTTTTTAATACCTTTATTTATTTATTTTTATGTGGTGCTGAGGATCGTACTCAGGGCCTCACACACGCTAGGCAAGCACTCTACCGCTGAGCCACAACCCCAGCCCCATAGGGACCTTTTCTGACACCATCCTTATTCTTTAAAAAACACACACACACACACACATACACACACACATTTAGTTGTAATTGGACACAATACCTTTATTTTATTTCTTTAGTTTTATGTGGTGCTGAGGATGGAACCCAGCGCCTTGTATGTGCTAAGAGAATGCTCTACTGCTGAGCCCCAGCCCCAGTCCTCCATCCTCTTATTCTTAAAACACCGTCTACAATCATCCAGAATTCTGTCTCCATACAATCAGCACCAGAACTCTTTTGTGGCTAAAATGAATCCCCCTTTTTATAGTCTCTCAGCACAAGGACTTGTGAAGAAGGCTTTGATTCATTTTGTTGAAGGACAGCAGGCACCGGTATAATCTTGTATGACTTTACAACCAACACTTCTGACTCTCACTTTTCATTTCAACTGCTCTATTGTTAAGTTGTACTGGTGACAGCATTCTCTTATTGGCCACTCCAATCCATCTCTTTCAGGGACCCTTAACAATGTAAATATCTATTTAAAGTTCTTTCATTTACTTCCCATATCATAAGGAAAAACAAAAATTTCATCTAGTTGGTAATATTGAATTCAATCTTTAGCCTTCTCTTCAATGATGATTCAATAGAAGTTTTGTTTCTAAGAATTATTTTTATCTGGATAGAAAACAACATCCTAGCAGTTATGGTTATTCCTAAACCTAATCCCAAGGCAGACAAGGTGGCAGCAAATGCAGCTAATCCAAAGGACACAAATGGAAGAAGACCTCTCTGGGCTGCATTCATGTCACTGTTCACGGTGTTCCACCCAAAGGAGTGACTGCACAGCTTTATATACAGTCACGATAAAAATGAGAGCAGCAAGAACACAGGCCAGGGGTGCTGAAAGGACAAAGAGTGTGAATGAAGCATAGATTACCCATTTTGGTGCAGAAGAATGTCTTCCTCCTTCTGAAGTCATGAATTTCCTTTGTCTGTGCACTTTCCATGTGCCATTCTCAGGCCTCCAAGTTTGGGGATGTCAGGGCAAATGATGCCATCTCCACTATGAAGCACTCAGTACATGCTGCTCAGCCACAGCATTTCTAAGACGGCCTGGGCTCACCCTGACAGACTTCCTCCTTCTTGGATACCTCACCACAGGCAACTGTGTCCAGAGCAAGCAGTAAGCAAGTCATGATCACCAGAGCTGGAATGTGGGACCTGCTCCAGCCTGTGTGTCCTTGACCCTACTTGCCAACTCTCACTGGTTTTTGAATCCCCAATACTCAGTGGACTTTGAAGGGTCAGTAAATTTTAATATAGCATCCAGTACAGTAAGTTAGGCGTGTCCCATTCTACTTGACCTCTACTACATGGGATGCTCTTGCCACCTGCTGGTCTACATACTCCCTTCCTTCCTCTGACCCTCTTCTTAGTCTCCATGGATCTTTTCTCTGGCTCTGTTTTAAGTCCTCCCCCCCCCCCAAGAGGTCTTTCTGCCTCAAATTTCTACTCCCTCCACACTGCCTGAATGGCCTGTCAAAAACACAAATCTTGCCACATCACTCTGCCCAAAATTGTCAACATTCCCCATTACCTATTGAATTGGATCAATTCTAAATTCCATAGACTAGTCTACAAGACCCTCATCTTTCCTCACCCTCTTCCCTTCCATTTCACACCCTCCCATCCAGCCAAACAGAGCAGCTTGCCCTTTGCCAGGAACACTGCATTGCATTTCTCTATGACTCTGCATAACAGCTGTCACTGCCCTGAGTGCCCTTCACCACTTCTTACACCTGGGGAACTTCTACCTGTCCTTAAATTCCCAGCTTAAATGTCCACTTCCTCTACAAAGCCTTGTCTGGGTACTCCTTCCCCTAAGCTCTCAAGCACTTCAATGTCTTCAACATAAGCTACTATATCAGTTTTCCTAGCTGGACTGTGTGCACTTTGGGAAGAAATTGGGCTTCATTCCATTTTGTATATTTCCAGGCCAAAAACAAGACCTTGCTTAGTCAAATAAATAAATGAACATTCTAGGTTTGTGCTGTCCAGCACAGTAGCACACATCATATATTGCCACTGAGCTCTTCAACGAGGCTGGCCTACATTAAGAAATGTTGTAAATATAAAACACACAAAGGGTTTCAAAGTCAGTGTGGGGGAAAAGTAAAATATATCATTGGTATATTTATATAATGATTTAATATTGAAACAGTATTTTGCATATATTTGATTACATTAAACAGTACTGCTCAAATTAATTTCACTTCTCTTTTTTATGCTTTCTAACATGGTTAGTAGCAAAATTTAAAACTACATACATGCTGGCCTCTCAGCTTCCTAATTGCCACTCATAGTTACAGTCGTCAGAATGATCCTTTAAAACGTCACTCAACTCATACATGGAGCCTTACTGAGGTAGTTACATTCTTTAAAGCTGCCACAAGCACTGAAATCAGTGAATACTGAATCACTGTTTCTACAGCAAATACATGGTCAGGCTCCTGAGAGTTCCCTATTCACAACATTTTTGTCAACCAATCAACATGTAACTTTGTATTACGAGTGTCTTTGTTTAAAGACACCTTACTTAATATATATTGTTGAATCAGTGCAGTTGAACACAAGGCCAAGGCTGAACAAAGCTCATGTAACATACATTTTTCTCAGGCACAGCACAACTGTTATGATTGGGATGTGAGGTGTCCCCCAAAAGCTCCTGTGTTAATGCAAGACTGTCTACAGGGAAAGTGGATTTTGAGAGCTGTAACATAATCAGTCCATCCTCGTTTGAATGGACTCAGTGGTTAACTGTGGGCAGGTGGGGCATGGCTGGAGGAGGACCGTCATTCGGGGTCCACCCTAGAAAGGTACATCTTCTCGAAGCTCTTTCGCTCTTCTTTCTGCTTCCTTGCTGCTAGGAGGGGAGCAGATTCCCTCTGACACGCCCTTTCCCTATGATGTGTTGGGCAATGGAGTTGGCTGGCCATGGACTGAAACTTCTGATACATGACCCAAATCTACTTTTCCTTCTCTAAGCTGTTTTAGTTGGGTGTTTTGATCACAGCAACACAAAGCTGACTAAAACAACTACCTTCTTGTACATAGGGATACTAGATAGCATTTCAGCCCTACACTCGGGGGCATTTAAGCAGCAAAATCACCAACAAAAGGCACAAAAATAAGAAAAACATGGCATTAAATATACCTCCAAAAGAACATTTTTAGACGGTGTACCCTTATTTTTTTAAAGAGAGAGAGAGATTTTAATATTTATTTTTCAGTTTTTGACGGACACAACATCTTTCTTTGTATGTGGTGTTGAGGATCAAATCCGGGCCACACGCATGCCAGGCCAGCATGCTACCGCTTGAGCCATATCCCCAGCCCCCTTATTTTTTATAAAAAAAAAATTTATTTGCTCTTTTTAGTTGTACATGACAGTACAATGTATTTTGACATATTATATATACCTTGAGTATAGCTTCCCATTCTTGTGATTATACACTATGTGCAGTTATATTGGTCATGTATTCATAAATGAACATAGGAAAGTATGTCTGATTCATAACTTATACCTGGGGAACTTCTACCTGTCCTTAAACCCCCAGCTTAAATATCCACTGCCTATCCTATTTCCATCCCCTTTCTGGAGTATGTACCCTTACTTGACTTCAGCTGAGAATAAATGAGAAAGCACCACAAGTATTGATTTTGGGGTGTGCAGGGGAATTTGCAAATATGAAATCTGTGAATAATGAAGCATGACTAATTCTACTGCTTACAGCTCTTCAAGGGCTTTAGATTCCATTTATAAAATCCAAACTCCTGGGGTTGGGGATGTGGCTCAAGGGGTAGCGCACTGGCCTGGCATGCTCGCGGCCAGGGTATGTTGTGTCTGCGGAAAACTAAAAAATAAATACTAAAAAATTCTCTCTCTCTTCTCTCTCTCAAAAAAAAAAAATCCAAACTCCTTACAATGGCCTACAAGGCTGTTTTGTCCACAGCCCAGCAGTGCCGGGGTGGTGGGATAGATTTTGGAAAGGTCAAAGAAAGTGCCCAGACACAACATGGGAGACAGACGATTTATTAAGGAAAATTTATAAGAGCTCCATGACTGCCCCAGAAGAGCTCAGTGGCCAGGCTGACAGCATGCCAGTCCCTCATAGTATTTCCTCTCCTTCAGTGTTTTGTCCAACGGCAATTGGCTAGAGAAGTCACACATATCCTTTATATAGTACCCTGGGTCCTACCCACCCACTCAGAAAGGGGTTTTATAAAAGGCTGCAGAATCAATGACATCTTTATTATTTTTTATTGTTATTTTAAAATATTTATTTTAATTGTCAGTGGACCTTTATTTACTTTTTATTTATATGTGGTGCTGAAAATTGGACCCAGTGCCTCATACATGGTAAGCAAGCGCTCTACCACTAAGCTATAACACCAGCCCAGCAGTGACATCTTTAGCATTAGTTTGTTTAGTCTGCTTACATCCCAAGGAGCAGCTGCCCTGGTGTACATGTAAGAAAGTGGCTTTCTAATGATAACACTAACTTGCCCTAGTTCCCTGTATGCATGAGGGAAAGCCAGTGTCCTTCAAGATAATGTGTATCTGGACACGGTGGCCCAGTCTTGTTCTCACTGTTCCCTTAAGTTGGTGGTTTTGGGGAACAGAAAGGCATTCAGGGACACAGTGTTTTCTATCCCCCTTTGCTTTAGGGACGACGGAAAGGCCCAACAGGGTGCGGGTGCAGTTTACCTTCCTACATCCTCACACCGCGGACAACAGTGGCTTCCTGCCTTCCCATTCCAGCCTGTCCCCACCCCGCAATGGCCCTGCCCTTTCACTTCTGCCTCCTCCTCACCATCACCTCCTTTTCTGAGCTCCCCTCCAGAGGACCACCCATAATCCTGCGGGGGCCGCCCACTGGGCTTTCCTTCGCGGCCTTGGGGTTGGGGTTGACTTCTGTCACAGTGTTTCACGGCGCCTAACCGGACAAGAGTGCGCGGAACCAGGGCTCCACCACGCCGGGGTGCGAGGGCGGCGCGCACTCTTTCCCGCCGCGGGCGGGGCAGCAGCGAGCGCCAACTGCGAGGTCCCGCGACTCTCCCGCCTCCTGAGCGGCTGACAAACAGGCCCGAGGTCCTCCCACGAGTCCAGTCCCACGCCGTGCTGCGCTCCGCCCTCTGACGTCACCAAGGCGCGTCACGTGCCTCGCGAGGCCCCGAGCCGCGACGCTTCGGGCCCTGGGCCCATCTCCAAACCTACCTGCCTCCTCTGACGGGGCGCGTCAGGCAGCTGTTGAGGCGGCCATTCCTGCTGCTGCGCTCGCCGCCGCTGTGGGGCCGCGGGGACGGTGAGTCGCCTCTGCGCATCCGGGGACGGCTTCCGGCGGGAATCCCTCTCCGCCAGAGCGGGGGCTGGCCTCCCGCCCCGGTTTGTGGTATGAGCTCGCCGCGGAGCCCCGCCCCGCCGCGGTGCCTGCCGGGTGCTGTAGGCCCCGCTTCAGGACTACAGGTCCCACAGGTCCCAGGGCGCACGGGGGCGGTGTGCGCGCAGAGCCCGCGGGCCGAGGGGCTCCTCCGAGCGCCAGGCCGGACCCGGGCCCTTCTTCGCGTCCCGCCGGCCTCGGGCGCCAGGTGTCGGAGGTAAAGGTGGCGGGGTGGGGGCGGCGGCCAGACTGGGGCTGTTCTCCTTGGGGCGCTGTCGAGACCCAAGGCGTTTTGGTGTCGTTACGGCCGCGGAGCTGCGGCGACAGCTTCCCGGGGCCGAGAGCCCGGGGTTACCGGCCCTGCGGCCGCTCGCGTGAGCCCTCGTCACGCCTCCCCTTTTTCTGTAAGAGAGGGTTGTGCCATTTTTCTGCGGGAGACCGGGAAGAGAGGGCAGGGGAGAGGAGGGGAGGGCAGCCTCACTGGAGGCCTCAAGGAACGGGGGTCGGGAGGGTCCCCGCGCGTGACCTTGGCGGTCCCGCGGGAGCCCGCCGCGTTTGCCCTCCCCCGCCGGGCAGGCGCCTGCGGGTCGGGACCTGGCTCTGCGCCGCGCTCCCGCAGGCGGATTGGGGAGGCGGCAGGTGGCCTGGCCTTGGGCCGTTCAGCACCTTGGTGGAGGTGGGTTCCCAGGGGCCTTTCCACAGGTGTCAAGGAAGAGAGCGGCTGAAAATCCTGCGTCAGCAGGACCGGTGGCCGTTGTTAAAAGGACGGGGTCCTGGGGCTTGTCCCAGCCCCAGATTCTCGTTCTGTAGTTATGGGGTGTATCCCAGGGAATCTGTAAATAATGTGCTCCCAGATAATTCTCAGGCACATGGGACTGAGAATCTCTGTCCCAGAGTGGGGATCGAGGACCTTCGGGGGGGGGGGGCGATTCATAGCGTTTTTATCACTTTTGTATGCATTCTGGGGATGTGGGCTGGGGAGTGCCTAGGAAATTAGGACGGCTATCCTTGGTACTTTGCTTCTTACTTTGTTTGGGGCTGACACAAGTTGAGTGGGGAAAGGCCTGCCAGCTCTTATTGTCCTGCTCTTAACAGGAAAGAGCCATTCAGAAGACCACCTCAACCTCCCCTGCATTAGGAAAAAATTAGAACGCAGAAAAGTCGAAGGAATTTTACAGAGTATGCTAATGAACTCCATGTAGAATGTACAGTTAACATTTTCTACTTTTTCATCAATCTATCCACCCAGCAGTCCCATCTTTTGTTTATGCATATCGAAGTAAGTTGTAGATCACCAGTGTGTTTTCTTTTCAAATAGTTAAGCATGCATATCATTAACTAGACTCTTAGGATTCTTGCTTATTGATTTTTAACCAACAGAACCTCTCAATCCTGAGGACCCGAAGGAGTGTGTAGGTTTGTTCTTCACATGAGGAAAGACCTTTACATATTGCTCTTACAGAATTTAAGAACAGCTAGCCATGGTTCTAGACTCATCCTAAGAGCAGAAACATGAAATATATGAAGAATACTTAAGGGAACAAAATTGTTTTGAGAAGAAGAGAATAGAATGTGTCCCAAAGGACAGTGCCCCAGCAGTTCATTCTGGCAATAACTGAAGTGAGTTGTCAGCTTGTGTGTTTTTTTGGCTCTTTCTGTACACTATAAGCTTGCTGTTTAAAGCTGCAGGTGTGTGTTTTTTAAACTGTAGGGGAACAGGGCTGGGTAACACATTTGGCAGGCACATGGTGCTGATGAATTAGAGGTCATGACTTTGACTCCCTTAGGCCCAGATACTTGGTTCCATAGCCACAACTACCAATCCCTCACCCTATTCCTTTAAGGGGGAGAGAAAAGTCAAGCCTCATGAAAATTCGTTTCTGCTTTCAGAAACACAATACTAAGCATGATGACATATTTTAACTCAGAGAGGACGCAGTTCAGGATGTGTAGCAGTTAAAGTCATGTCATTTTATGTTAAGGTCCTGTCCTGTATGTGGAAGATATGCTGATAAGAAGGTAGCATGCAGGGAGAACTTGGGCCCTTAGTGGGGAGAAGAGCTATTTTGGCAGTGATGATGGGGGGTTTCTTGTCCCACAAAGGGACTTGGAAATAGATTGCATAAAATGGAAGCATATCCATTTTTAGGACCCCATAAAAGCCTTCTGTGTTTACCTCCACCCTGTCAAGATTTCCCAAATCCTATCTCTTAGAGGCAGTAGAGGCTGCATTGTAATAGAGTGCTACAGAGGGGAGTCGGAGTCAGGCCAGGGGCCTGCTAAAGAGCTCCCACAGAGGGCCAGAGAGACACTGGTCTGACTGGCTCCTTAGCCTATGGGTCCACTAGGTCTGCTCACCACCTCTTCTGTACTATGAGTCATCAGGCAGTGCTCTGGTGATAATGATGGATTCTGGGACCAGTACTGCCTAGACTCAGTTAGCAAACCACATTGGAGGCCCCTATATGTGACTTTGAAGCTTTGTGACAAGCTAGTTGTCTTCCCAGAGCCTCGTTCATTACACCTGTGGTAGGTGAAGAGACCTTGATCTGGTCAGAAGACCTATATCCACAGTAAGCACTGAAAAGATTAGGGTTTCCTAATGTTGACAAAGTATAAACAATTCAAAGCCATGCAGTAAAGGGTAAAGAGGTCCAACAACACTGGGTGCAGGGGTGCACACCTAATCCCAGTGGCTCAGGAGGCTGAGGCAGGAGGATTGCAAGTTCAAAGCCTGTCTCAACAACTTAGTGAGGTCCTAAGCAACATGATGAGACCTTGTCTCAAAATTTTTAAAAAAGGCTGGGGATGTGGGTCAGTGGTTAAGCACCCTTGGGTTAATCTCTGGGACCAAAAATGGGGGAGAGTTTCCAACATTCTGGTACTTTCCATGAAAGCAACTGTGTGCATTTTTGCTAATATTGGATCATTTTTCCAGAAAACATTTCTTGTCAACTTTCTAGTGTTCCTGATTTTGTGGGTGCTGTGAGCCCCTGCTTGGTCTGTCCATTGGGTGATCCAACACCATCAGTTCGTACTGCAAAGAAGTGTCTCATGGTTCAGTAAAACCTCTGTGTGTGATATATATCGTGTACAATAAATTTAATTTGGCCTGAATTCAGATCTAGTTACAGTGTCCGAGTTTTTCCTTCAAGAAGAAAAGGGTATGGTGGCGCACACCTGTAATCCCAGTGGTTTGAGAGGCTGAAGCAGGAGGATCAAAGCCAGCCTCAGTAATTTAGCGAGGCCCTAAGAAATTCAGTTAGACCCTGTCTCTAATAAAACACAAAAAGGGCTGGGGATGTGGCTTAGTGGTTAAGTGCCCCTGGGTTCAATCCCTGGTACCAAAAAGAAAAAAAAGGAAGAAAAGGAGTCCACAGCAGGTGGGAGTAGGTAGGGAAGGGTACAGGAGTTGCTTTGGGTGCATTTAAGGAGAATTTAACCCTATTCAAGAAAACATGAACAGTTGTCACAGTTTCAACTGACATTAAGTAGGAATATAGGGCATGCGATTTCTGTGCAAGGTGGGCCCTTTCTAAGTGTGTTGTTCCTACTTGGCAGGTTCTCACCTCTTATCCAGGGAAATAGTTACACAAGCATGCCTCAGCTAAGGAAGCAGCCAGACTAAGTGACTTGCACATGGTTGCCAAATAATGGCAGAGCAGGGCTACACACACAGCTCTCTTGAAACAATGGCATGAAGGGGGTGGCGGGAACACGGGCTTCCCCAGCCCTGCTATGATTACTGCTTCATGGAGTTGATTGTCATTCAAAAAAATGGCATTTTTTCCTGTTTTGATTTTGACCATAAACAAAGGCATTTTTATGAGGAAGCATGTGGAATCCATCTGAGCTGTGGCTGTGCTCTGGTCCTAGGGCACGGGTAGTGGGCATTAGGATTAGGAAAAGTACAGAAGTCCACTATGGTTAACCCCACACTCATAGGCTCATTTATTTAGCAAACATTCCAATGGTTTAGAGAAGTCCAAAGTACAGTGGAGTAGAGCTGGAGTAGATTACTGTAGGTCTGGGACATGGGCTAAGCCCAGACTTTTCCCTTTCAACCTTGACCATCTGATGAGATAATGTGGGTCTGAGTGCTGTTTGAACTATGGAATCCGTAGGATTTGCCAGCTGGTCAAGGTTTCAGAGAAATAGTTTAGAACTCCTTTAAGCCTGTCCAGTTTTCCAGTGAACTGAAATAGGACTTGAGGCTGAGGAGCCCCATCCCAGCAGTGGTCAGCCTGGATGTGCTCTCCACCTGCTCAACGCATATTTCACGTGTTTCTGGTACTGTAGAGAAGTGGCCCCAAGTTCCATCTTCACCCCCAGGAGCTGTGGGTCTGATGGACAAACTGGACCCTTGAGCACAACTTTCAGGTTCTCCTGATGTGAGTGACTAATGCCCCATGCCTGGGATTGCTTGAGTTCTTTCCACAAGGACCGGAAGCCTCCCCAGTCTCAGCCCTTCTCACAAAATCTCATCTGCTGATTTTGCTGAGTATCTTTTGTAAATTCTTCTTGAAGGTGACTTAGCTTCCTAGGTAGATCTGTGGCTCCTTGAGGGCAGGAACCATAAAGTAAGTACTATCTAGCAAGGATCCAGTGACTTGTTGACTCAATTTAGAAGTCAAAAGTCTTAACTCTGAGGGATGGGGTTGTGGCTCAGCGGTAGAGCGCTTGCCTAGCATGTGCGAGGCCCTGGGTTCAATCCTCAGCACCATATAAAAACAAATAAATAAAAATAAAGGTATTGGGCTGGGGATGTGGCTCAAGCGGTAGCGCGCTCGCCTGGCATGCGTGCGGCCCGGGTTCGATCCTCAGCACCACATACAAAGATGTTGTGTCTGCCGAAAACCAAAAAATAAAACATTAAAATTCTCTCTCTCTCTCTTTCTCTCTCTCTCTCAAAAAAATAAAAATAAAAGTATTGTGTCCAACTACAACTAAAAAAAAAAAAAAAGTCAACTCTCAATAAGTAGTGATTTAGAAAAACAGGGCTAGAATGTAGCTCAATGGTAGAGTGCTTGCCTAACCTGTGGGAAGCCCTGGCACTGACCCCCAGTGCAACAAAAAAACAAAAAAGAAAACTTGGGTGGTGATTTCTTTGCTGAATAAAACTGCTTTTGCTTAAACCTACCCTGCTCAGGGGAGAAGGCCTCAAGTGGCCACTTCTCAGCCCTTGGAGTCCCCAGGCATTCTCCATCCCTGAAGGCTCAGGCTCCACATATGTGTGTTTACCAGCTTTGCTGGAGAGTAGCCACACTGTGACCCGTTACTCTGTGATCCCGAACAGGCCAGAAAGTAACTGTACCAGTTGGAGGTGGTGGCCAAGTGCTCTAGGGTTCTCCACCTCTAGCACTTACCAGTTTGATAGCAGGGCTTTGAAGGACTCATATTAATGTATCAGGCAGTGTGTAGGAAGTGGAGACTCATGGGATAGCCTGATTTTTTAAGCTCTACAAAAGCCTCGCAGCTTACTTAAAAAGTGGGGTCCTGCAGTAAGTAGCCAGAGGACCTAGCCCAGCTCCTCCCCCCACCACCTCCCTACTTCACCTTCCCTGCTCTCAGTACCTGCTGTACTCAGCTGCTACTCCTGGGTCATTGCCTGTGCCTCCTTCCTACACTGCATACATGGCTCACCTCATCTTCAACCTGGGCTGGAATATTCCCTGCACAGTGAAGCTTTCCCTGTTTAGGACACAGCTCTGAAGCATTCCATTCCCAAGTTTTTATTCCTCTATACAACTCACTATATAACAAGCTTTACATTCTGTGTCTCACAGTCCCTAGTCCCCACTCTGCAACATAAAAGTAAGTTCTATTAAGACAGGTACTCCTTCATCTTCACTGCCTAGGAAAGTGTTGACACCTACTGAATGGTCACAGTTTATTAGTTGGATAAAGTCATATACCATTCCTGCATTTCAGTTGTGTTCCTAATAGCTGTTCATCTTGCAATGTCCATGTGCTGTGTCCTTCCCTGTGGAGTCCTGGGCATACACTTTGTTTGTTTGTTACCAGGGATTGAACCCAGTGGTGCTTAACCAGTGAGCCACATTCCCAGCCCTTTTTGATATTTTATTTAGAAATCGGGTCTCACTGACTTGCTTTAGGGCCTTGCTAAATTGTGAGGCTGGCTTTGAACTCCTAATCCTCCTGCCTCAATCTCCTGAGCTGCTGGGATTACAGGTGTGTGCCTGGCAAGGGCATCTCATTTTGAATGCAGAATTGAGTTCTCACATACATGGTTATTGGGTTAGATTCTGAAGTTGCTGGTAGAGCAAAAACCTCATTTGGTCACACTGTCCTTTAAAATCCTTGAATGGCCTCTAAGCTGTGAGCATATGGAAGGACTGTGGCCCTGAGGAGATAGCATGAGCCATGTTTCATTTCCCTCCCAGCCCTATTCTCACCAATGGGTAAGGCTGGGGGGCCCAGCAGCATTACTTCAGCTTTTTGTTTGGGTGCCATGAAGTCCACATAAACTAAATGAGTGGGATGGAATTCCACTGCATGAAGCAATTTGGTCCCTAAGACCCCACATTTGAGAATGTGGGACAAGAGACAAGGCTGATGGTACTATAGAAAAGAGTGTTGGGCATGATCAGGACAGTAGAGGTCCTGTCTCAGATCATTGTCTCTGAGCAACTGGGATAGCCACAGCCACCCTTAGAGCCCGCTCCCCGTTCATTGGCACTGCTTATTGTTCCTTTTGCCCACTGTAGTCTCCAGCACTTCACACATACCTGCCTTTGGTGGGGGCTTGATTAATATATAACACTTATACGAATGTCAGCTGAAACTTCAGATGTAGTCATCTCAGGTGGCTTTTCCAGCCCTGAAAGGTGGTCTCTAGATATCTTTTTTCTTTTTCTTTTTCTTTTTTTTAAGAGAGAGAGAGAGAGAGAATTTTAATATTCACCTTTCAGCCTTCGGTGGACACAACATCTTTGTTTGTATGTGGTGCTGAGGATCGAACCCGGGCGGCACGCATGCCAGGCGAGCACGCCACCGCTTGAGCCACATCCCCAGCCCTAGATATCTTTTTTAAAAAAATATATTTTTAGTTGTAGTTGGACACAATATCTTTATTTATTTTTATGTGGTGCTGAGGATCAAAACTCAGCGTCTCACACATGCTAGATGAGCGCTCTACCGCTGAGCCACAACCCCAGCCCCTTTCTAGATGTCTTGAGTCATAGAGAAATACACATGGGCAAACATAGCAGCCCCAACATGACACACACTCTCACTTCTGCAAGGAAAAAAATCCCAGTTTTGTCTGAGCCTGTGTTAGTTTCAGGTTACAGGAATTTAGTGAAGCTTGCATATACTACATATAACATGAAACTGTGTTCTTTTGCTTCCCACTCACAGTTCCCCAAGAACTGCCATTCCTACTCCTCCTGTGCAACTCCACTGACCTCTATGTCCCTGTTTCTGTGACCCCACAGAGCAGGTGCAAGTAGTCTTGAGTGCCACAAGAGCAGGATGGCTCTGCTGTGCCCCAGAACTGATTACATTCTCTCAGGTATTCTTTTTTCTTGTTGTTGGGGACTGGGAATTGAACTCTGGGGCACTTGACCACTGAGCCACATCCCCAGCCCTTTTTGCATTTTATTTAGAGACAGGGTCTCTCTGAATTGCTTAGCACCTCGCTTTTGCTGAGTCTGGCTTTGAATTCATGATCCTCACACGCTGCTGGGATTACAGGTGTGCACCTCTGTGCCTGGCTCTCAGGCATTCTTTTTTTTTTTTTTTTTTTTTTAGTTGTAGATGGACATGATGCCTTTATTTTATTTATTTATTTTTATGTAGTGCTGAGGGTCAAACCCCAGTGCCTCACATGTGCTAGGCAGGTGCTCTACCACTAAGCCACAACCCCAGCCCCCCTCAGGTATTCTTATCAGCCCTGCAGCATAGCTGTTTCCTGCCTGTTTAAAGGCACTCTTGAAAAAGCTGTTTATAGCAACATTGAACAAGTGTCATTTTGAGGCCTGGCCCAGGAACAGTTACAGATCTCCATGTCTGCAGTGTTTTGTGTTTATTTACCAATTCCACCTACAACTTGAGTGTCTCACTAGTGCTGACAGGTCACTGCAGTTCATGTTCTTCCCCCAGCAGAGTTTTCTTCAAAATGATTGAAGGAATACTGTCATATGAGAGATCTGAGTGTTGCAAAGCCACCTCTGTTCTGAGGGAAAGCTGAGGGGTGGGAGTACGCTATAGTTTTCAGGTATATTTGATGACTGAAGTATATGGAGAAAGAAAGGGGATCCCAGGGATTGCTTCTTCCTGCAGCATGGGGAGACTTGGGTGAGGCCTAACTAGAGGCTCGGAGCCCCTCCCCTGTGCTCAAAGGCGTTTCTGTCCCAATTAAGACTCTTCCATCTGGTGGCTGTGACTGTTGTGACCACATGGCTTGATGGCATGAATAAACCTTGTGCTTTCTGGAAGGTCAGGATGTTATGTCTTGATGTCACCCAGCTGACAGCTGGTTCAAATAGTCAACCCAAAGATGATTTTGTGTCAGCTCAGTGCAGGCAGAGGTAGGAACTTCTTCAGAGCTGCATTTTGATTGCTCAAGTGATGGCTCTTTAGGCTTATGTTTCTAAAATTAGTTGACTCTTAGTTACCACCTCCTGCCTGTGGGCAGGTGCCATTGACTTTTTTATTTGCTAGTTGTGGTTCCACTTGTAGCTGTTTTCCATCCTTTGCTCATTTCCCCTGCCATCTGTTCTTCCTTCCTTTTCTGTATAAAGCAGCAGGACATAGAAACAAGCTTTCTGGAACAGCATAGGAGGCAGTGCAGAGGCTGCGCTGTGTTCAGTGCAGCTCTAGCCTGGCCTTTGACAGGCCAGGAAACTCACTGCATTCAGTTTTATCAGGGACCTTGTGGGGATTTGCTTGCTGTCCTCTGTTAGGTGGCCTGCCAACTCCCCAGGCCAGCCTTGAGACTACTGACTTAACAGGTCCAGTAGGACCCTCAGTTTGCCTGGAGCACTGGGAGGTGGCCTGGTAGAGAATAGACTCGTACTACCAAACTGAAGTAAGACCTCCATGCAGACCAAGCACCAACTTCTGAGAGAGGACTGACAGCCTTGGGCTCACTCCATGAGCATTTTCTCCTCTAGGTAAAACTAGATTGTAGTCTGAGGCACCTTTCTGGATTGAGGAGAAATAACATGAATCTAGCACAATTATGAGTATTTTGGAGAAAGAAGCATTTAGAGAAGCTGCTCATCACACATAAAGAAAAGCTTCTGTATTTGTATTTAGGTATAAACAAATCACCCCGAATCTCAATACCCAGAGAAAGCAGCTAATGTAGAATCACAGGCTACTTTACATCCTTCCTTCACTCAGCATTGTCAGGACCATCTTTCCATGTCACTGCAGGTAGCTCAGAGAGTCATTCAGAGGGTGAATACAGTAACACTGTAAGGTAGACTAAGTGGGTCTGACAGTCCCTTTGGTGGGATGTCAACACAGTGATGCAGTGAACACCTTTGCAGGTGATCGCTGCACCAGGTCCATCTTACCTCTAGGGTAGCACTCCTGTAGAAGTCATCAAGAAGAATGCAGGCACACAGCTCTTGTCCAGGAAACCAGAGCTGCTAGGTACAGGGAATGCAAAAGTAGCTTGCCAGAGCTTCACAGGAAGCTCAGCCTGCTGCAAAGTGTAGTAACTGTTGTTGTCATAGTTCCTGTAAGTCTTACTACTTCTAAGTTTAGAACCATTAGTTTAGAACCATTAGCTCCTGTGTGTGGTGGCTCATGCTGGTAATCCCAACAACCTGGGAGGCTGAGTCAGGAGGATCACAAGTTTGAGGACAGCCTCAGCAATTTAGTGGGACCCTGTCTCAAAAAATAAAAAGGGAGGCTGAGATTGTGGCTTAGTGGTAAAGCTCTTGCCTAGCATGTGTGAGGCACTGGGTTCAATTCTCAGCACAACATATAAATAAATTAAATAAAGGTCTATTGACAACTAAAAAAGCATTTTTAAAAAATAAATAAAAAGGGCTGGGGAATGTAACTCAATGATAGTGTCCCTAGGTTCAATCCCAGTACCCCTCCCCCCAAAAAGTCATCCCTAATAAACAATAGCAGGTTCTCTTTATTTAGCATCCCTTGTGCCAGGCCCTGTGCTCTGAAGTGGGTATTTTGCACCTTTTTTTTTTTTTTTTTTTTTTTTTAAGCGAGAGAGAGAGAGACAGAGAGAATTTTAATATTTATTTTTTAGTTATTGGCGGACATAACATCTTTGTTTTTGTATGTGGTGGTGAGGATCGAACCCTGGCCGCACGCATGCCAGGCGAGTTCGCTACCACTTGAGCCACATCCTCAGCCCTATTTTGCACTCTTGTAAGCTTTGTTCCTATCCCAACATATAAGCAGATGAGAGAAACAGGTCACAGCTAGGAAGTGGGAGGGGGGCTGGATCTGTTCTGGTTGATGCAGAAACACATCTTGACTCCTTGCCTCATCTGCAGCCATGCTGCAGCGGGCACCTCTCTGGGGTGCAGCTTCCTCAGGAGGCATCTCTCTGGGGTGCAGCCTCCTCCGGAGGCATCCCTCTGGGCTCCTCTGATAGCGAAGCCCTGGCCCTCTGTCCAGGCCCTTAATGTTGCACTCACATTCTGGGGTTCCTTCAGCACTTTGTTCTCTATATGAACTGAACCCCAGGAGCTGCCTGAGACTTCTCAGGGTGGAGGTTGAAACTGTTTTAATGATAATACAAAAATACATTCTGTAATGTGCTGGCTGACCTTCCCATAGATGGTGCAGAATTAGTGGGAAAGAAACTGCCAAAGCCAGTGCTGGCCATTGTTTTTGTGTCACACAACATACACACACAAGCCAGTATCAGTAAAAGGCAGTAAATGTTATTAGCCAGGTGGGTGGTGCATGTCTATAATCTCAGCAACTTGGGAGACTGAGGAAGATTGCAAGTTCAAGGCCAGCCTAGCAATTTAACGAGACCCTGTATCAAAATTTTAAAAAGGATTGGGGATATAGTTCATATAGCCCTGGGTTTAATGCCCAGTATCTCCCTCCCCCCAACAAAAAAGGAAAAACAAAAACTGACCAGCTGTGGGTGTAGCTCCATGGTAGAGTATTTGCCTGAGAGGTCCTGGGTTCCATCCCCAGCACCACACAGAAAAAAAGTTATTCAGTGGCACTTCTTTGGACATGAACAAAGTAAGCCTGCTCCTTCAAAAAGACAGTGGATTTGGTTTTGTATATGTTTTTTTTTTTTTAATATTTATTTTTTGGTGTAAATGGACACAACACAATGCATTTTATTTTTATGTGGTGCTGAGGATTGAACCTGGGTCCCGCCTGTGCTAGGCAAGCACTCTACCACTGAGCCACAATCCCAGCCCCAAGTTTTTGTATATGTTGCCAGTAATAAGTTTATTATTATTTCCAGTAATAAAATTTGAGATATCAAATGAAAATCAGATTTTGGCAACATATCTAACACTGTGAACTTGATAGTTTCTTGATATTTATTTTATTATTACTTTTTGGTGCTGGGAATCATGCAGGGCCTTGCACATGCAAGTCAAGCACTCTACCACTAAACTACATCCCAGCCTACTTCATGATATTTAAAGACTTTTCTGATAATATTGGTGGTGATGCTAATAGTATGATTGATTGGTTGATTATTTCTGGTTCCTCATTTTGTATTTCTAATATAGTATTCATAGATAATAGCTCAAAAAAACCAAAATCTATTTGTGGTCCTCAGTAATCAAATGTAAAGGAGTCCCAAGACCAGAAAATCTGAGAAACACTGCTTTGGCAGACTCCGTGGAACTGGAATTTCAGAACATCCCTTTGGGCCCTGTCTTTTCTGTCATCTCTCTGCCTCATCCCCTGTTGCCTATCCTCAGGCTCTAGGAGAGCACACATACATGGAGAGCCAGCCAGGTTGACTATCACAATGGGGCAGGAGCATCAGAGTACCTGCCCCACTCCTGGACTTTGCCTCCATAATGGCTTGGCAGTAAATCTGCTGGTGGTATTCTGCAAGGGGACAGATCACAGGTGCATGGCTGGTACCCATGGTTGCAATGTATAGGACATTTTCAAGTGAGAATAGTTTTCCCTCAGATTCTATTGTAGTTGCTGTAGCTAGCAGGTCTATATCCTGCTGCCACCCTCTCAGGATCCTGCCATGGCGGGCAGGCTGTTGCACATTGGCCTAGCTTTGGCCTTGGATTCATTGCACTGCTCTCTGCAGTGAATGGAGGAGGATGCCAGAGTCAGTGCCCAGTGCCCTGAGGTCTTGTACTTGGCTCCTATCTGGGAAGCAGGAGACCCAGAGGAGAGCAGCTGAGCTCAGCACATCATGAGGTGTCCCCTCCCTCCTCTGCCTGTCTCCAGAGTCAGAACTGCCCTTTACTGACCTGTCTGGAACCATACTCTATTCAAAGTATAGTTATGTGCTACCTAACAAACAAATGTGTGGTCAACAATGGACTGCATGCATATATGAGGCGGGTCCCCTCAGATTATATTGTCTGGTGGTGTCATTGCCATCTTAGCTTGTGTAAGCACTGTTTCTCAGAATGCAACTTCATTATTAAGTACAGTTCAGTGCTTTTAATATGTTCACATTGTGCATCCATCCCCATGATCTAATTTTATGTTTTTATCCACCCAACAACAGCCCCCTTTCTGTATGGAATGGTCCACTAGGACCAAGAGGCAGGTGTCCTAGTTTCAGTTCACAGGAAGTTGGAGGCTCTGACCTGCCCAAGGTCTTGGATTTGAAGTCAGGTTTATCTGGTTCCAGCATGCCATTTCTTTCTGTCCTCACCATTTTCCCATTAATAGGGCCTGGCATAGGGTCCATCCTTTACCCTGTGGGAGTTGGAGAGGGAGGTAAGGTTTCAGGTTTTGGTGCCATGCTGACCCCATTTTAGAAGACTGACAATGTACTCTTTTTTTTTTAATTTTTAATTTTTATTTTAATTTTTTAGTTGTTGATCAACCTTTACTTTTATTATTTATATGTGGTGCTGAGAATGGAACCCAGTGCCTCACACTTGCTAGGCAAGTACACTATCACTTAGCCACAGCCACAGCCCCTGTACTATATCTTCTTTTAAATATCTTTTTTTGTGAATGGAACAGTACCTTTATTCATTCACTCGTTTGCTTGTTTGTTTTTATGTGGTATAGTGCTGAGGATCAATGGAACCCAGTGCCTCAAATGTGCTAGGCAAGCCCTCTACCACTGAGCCACAACCGCAGCCCTCAGACTGTGCACTTTCCTTGAAGCTAAGTCACATTCCATGTGGCCTGGGATGGGAGTGCAGTAGAGCAGTTTTTATTGGTTTCATGGCCCCATCATGTACCCTAAAATCTACTGCAGGCATCTCAAAATATCTTTTCCATCCTCACTCTGGGAAAATCTCCAACTGGCTGCTCCCTGGAGAAGCAGCAGGAACCTCTGTGAGTCCATAAGACCAGGTGCCAGGCTGAGTGAAGGTGAAGTGTGCTGCATTCCCTGGCAGAACTGCATGAAGGGGCAAGGGAAGTGAGGCCTGGGCTCCAGTGCTGCAGTACAGAGCAGGTTTTCATTATGAGATGGACCCTGCACTGAGCAGGCCCCAAGGCCCCCTGTGCTGCTTAACCAGCCTCACAGGCAGATGGCATTTAGAATCCAGATGTCCTCAGTATACTGGGGTTGTGGGATGTGAGGGTGGCTTTGCAGAATAGTGCTTGACCCTGTCTGTGTCTGGGAGCAGTGGGTAGGGTGAGAATTGTGTCTTGCCCCTGGGAAGTTCCCAGCCCCATCAGGTCACACACCTTTGGGAGGATGGATTGCAGCTGCAGTGGGATAAAGACAGGTACCCTTTTTTTCAGGTGTCTTTAATAACTTCCTATAGAACGGCATGGTGGGTGCCAGGCTGTTGGTCATCAGCACAGGGGCCAATGGGTCCCTGGTGACCGGTTCTATCCCCCAGTGGACTAGGGGCATGAGTGGGTCCAACCTCCCTCTCTTGGACACATCACCCCCTCTTTCCCCTGAGGGCTCCCCTAAGTTTGTCCCACTTCCCCCATACTTCACTAAATTCCCATTCTAAGGGACTTACTTATTAATGCCAGTGATAGGGATTCTAATGAACAGCTCAGAGAAGACAGGCTCATGCATGTCTTGGAGTTCCCACAGTGCCTGCTCTTGTGCCTAAGACACTCTCCCTTCTTGAGTCTGGAGCCTTCTGACTCAACAGCTGCTTTTCTGCTCTGGCAAAGGCCAGGACCATTCCTTTTGGGATGGGCTTCTTAATAAAAATGCCATCAAGGAGACAATGAGCTCCATGGTCAGTTTGATCTATGAGGCCCCCATAGCCAGTAACCCAGGCCTCCCCCTACACTTTATGGATATTACCCATACGTCTTTAGCGTCTGGGAAGCACCTCTGCCCCCTTGAACCACCCCTCAGGGCTGAGCAGTGGTACTCCCAGCATCCTCAACACTGTGTCTGAAAATGGGTAGGAGCAGGAATTTAAGGCTCAGAAGAAATCCTTGAGGGCATCTGACACTGATTGGGAGGCTGTGTGACCCTGGAGACTGAGCTTTGTTGGATTTCTTGATAAAATGCAGATGCTGAAGGGCTGGCCTGTGGGCTGCTCTGAGGGTTAATACTTGTGCAGGGAATGTCACCTGATTGAAGACATCAGAATTGTTCCTTCTCCATGGCCTTACTTAAGACCACCTCTTGGGCTTCTGCAGCCCCAAGAGTCTGGGAAAAGATAAATGCTCATGGAGCATGTGCCCTTGCAGGGCTCTCAGGACGCCTGTCTCATCCTACACTGGGTGTGTGAAGCTACACCTCACTGGACCCTTTAATAGGTGAGCCAGCATTGCTACTTGAGTTCAGTAAAGAATGTTCCTTGTTTCCTGTGCTTTAGCTGAGACTATATCATCTGCCTGAAGTCTGTGGGGAGTCCAGATGCCAGATGAGCTCATGAGCCCTGGGGTCTGAGTTTTAATATGGTTTTATATTGGAAGGCACTTGGGGCATTGGTATTTGATTTTGAGAGTTCATGCCACTGTCCAGATACTTCTCTCCTTGTGAGGGATCTGCTCCATGTTCTCTGCTGCAGTTTGGGAAGGTAGCTGAATGGATATGGGTGTGAAGGGCTGGGCAGCAGTGTACAGCAGGCAGGGCTATGGAGAGGAGACATTGAATAGTATCAGAGCCCTGCAGCTACGTGGGTGTAGGGTCCAACTTCTCTGCTTACCATGTTTCTAAATTTTAGCCACCTTGTGGATATAAAATCATATTTCAGTGTGGTTTTGATGTATGTATGTGTGAGATGCTGGCAGTGGAAGCCAGGACCTTGCATGTGCTAGGCAAGTGTTCTACCACACCACTAAGCTACAACCACAGCCTGAAGGAGCATTTTCATTCTTCAAAGTTTGTTTTTAAACGGAGGTCTCAGTGTTGCCGAGGCTGTCCTCCCAACTCCAAGGCTCCAGTATCCTCTTTGCTCAGTCTCCCTAGAAGCTGGGACTTTAGGTGCACCATGCTGGGCTTTGGTTTTGATTTTTATTTCCATTGTGAAAAAATATTGAGCCTGCCATTTGCACTGTGTATGCTGTTGTAGCATACGATGAATTTTTTTCCTTGTTTGTACTATTACTCTCATTTGCAAAAAGAAAGTCTCATTTCAGAATGCTATTAATGGTTTGTCGTTTATAATGCTAAGTAAGAGTGAAGGCAAGGAGACCTGGCTTCCCTGCTTTTCTCCTAATACCTAAGCAGTAGGTGCTCAGGGAAGTTGGTGAAAGAAATTAGGCAAAGTGTTTAACTTGACTGATTCTGTTTTTCCTTCCTGGCTCCAAAAAAGTCCGGAGACTAGGCAGACCCATATCCCATCATCCTGACTCTTTTCACAGTCATTGCATGGGTAATGTATTTGTCAAGACTGGTGGGAAAAAAAAAAAAAAGACTGGTGGGAGGGGGTGGTATGCAGAGGACCCAGCAGCCACAGGACTTGGGGACAGAAATCAGACCTGTGAGGTCGGGCAGGGCAAGAGTGTGTAGTGATTAGGCTTATGGGTGGCACAATGAGTGGGGATGTGCCCAAGCCTGGCCCAGCAGCTCTCACAGGCTAAGTGTGCTGCTTCTTCCTTGAACAGCTCTCCAGAGCCCTGTCCATCCTGGCCAGCCACTGAGGACCCACTTCCTTTCTCTGAGTACCAGGGGTTTGAGGTAAGAAATCTCCTGGAATTCTTTCCCTTGGATCTGGCAGCCTCTGGTGGTGATCAGCCCCTCCATGGATGCCTGTAGGTAAGGGGAGGACTAGGTGACTGCTCTTCTGTGGAGCCCTGGGTCAGCTTCCCAGGACTGCTGTCCTTGCCTGAGTGACTAGAAAGATACAGAGAATGGCAGCTCTAAGCTACTGGTCCCCAGGGTAAGGTGGGACCTCCCCTATGATGAGCAGTCCAGTGATTTGAGTTCTCCAAGGCACCAGCCCCAGCCTACTAACCCTGCCTCCAGAGCTGGGAGCTATGCATGAAGGGAATGTGACAGCTTGGGCACCTGAGCCAAAAGCAAGAGACCCTGTGAAAAGAGGGCCTGTGTGCTAGTGCTCAACTAGACACCTCTGAGGACAGTGACACATCTTGTGCAATGGCCCTCAACACAGTCCTGAACCTGAGTGGAAAGCAGGTTGACTGGGAGCTGATTTTGTGTCTGGTTTTCCCTCCAGGTCCAGAAGCAGCAAAGATGTCTAATGAGCCACCCCCTCCTTATCCTGGGGGACCTACAGCCCCACTTCTGGAGGAGAAGAGTGGAGCCCCACCCACCCCAGGTAAGAATCCCCCCTCCCCAGATGCAATTGGCACCTCTACACCATTTGTTCTCCAGGATCACCCTGTGTCCCAAAGCAGTGATATCTGGCATGGCCCATGTGCTGACCACCTGAGCCTCCACTTTCTGCTTCTGTCTAGGCCGTACCTCCCCAGCTGTGATGCAGCCCCCACCAGGCATGCCACTGCCCCCTGCAGACATTGGCCCCCCACCGTACGAGCCACCAGGTCATCCAATACCTCAACCTGGCTTTGTCCCCCCCCACATGAGTGCGGATGGCACCTACATGCCTCCAGGTGAGTTTGGAAGGAGTGTTGGGATCATTAGAGCAACCACTGTCCATCCTTCACTGTAGGCAGTTGGTGATGGGCCAGACTGTGGATGTGAGACAGGGTAGCAGGGCCTCTTGCTGGGTTTGTCAGGTTAGAAGACAGGCACTCAGGGAAGGCCCCTCAGTTACAGTGGCTCCTAATGACTGAGTGCTGTAGGACTTCTTCCTACCAGGGACTTGGCTCCTAGTAGATGTCTGGATCTCTGCCTATCTGCAGCTCTCCACAGGGCCAAGGAAGGGCCTATGGCTCTTGTACAGGTTGCCAGGTAAGGTGGGATGACCCTCAACACACCAGGGAAAGCCATGTATGCAGGAGAGGGGTAGGAGAGAGGTGAGGCTTTTCCTACTGTGGTAGGGCCCTCATCCCTGCTGATTCTGGCTGCCTAGTCCCTTCATGCTAGAGGTGGGAGAGCAAAGGGAAGTCAGGTCCATGTTCCTGGCTCTCTATCACATTTATCCTGGTCCCATAGTGTGGGGACTAGAAAGGACTAGGAGAATATGGTTGCTTGAAACAGAGCCCCAACCACAAGTCTTCACTGGTACTCTGTGGCCCCAGGGTACAGGAAGCTTTAGGCTGCACTTGGTTGCTGGGTCCCAGGTTTTGTGCTCATGCCACTAGGGCAGGTGGCCAGCCAATGAATGACATAACCTCTCTGTTGTCTTCTGTGCTACTCCAGGTTTCTACCCGCCTCCAGGCCCTCACCCACCCATGGGCTACTACCCACCTGGACCCTACCCACCAGGGCCCTACCCTGGCCCTGGAGGCCACACAGCCACCGTCCTGGTTCCTTCAGGGGCTGCCACCACAGTGACAGTGCTGCAGGGAGAGATCTTTGAAGGCGCACCAGTGCAGACTGTGTGTCCCCACTGCCAGCAGGCCATCACCACCAAAATCTCTTATGAGATTGGCCTGATGAACTTCGTGCTGGGTTTCTTCTGCTGCTTCATGGGGTAGGTGTGGGGTGTTCGCAGGGTTGGACCTCCAGGGCTCTGCAGACTGCCTCTGCCTCTTCTCTTCAGGCATCAGCCTTTTTCTCCCTGTCTCTGATTCAGGTGTGATCTGGGCTGCTGCTTGATCCCCTGCCTCATCAATGACTTCAAGGATGTGACACACACGTGCCCCAGCTGCAAAGCCTACATCTACACGTATAAGCGCTTGTGCTAACAGAGCTGAACTCGGACTCCCCAGCCTGTCAGTGGCCCCCTCCCCATGCTTCGCTCCCTGTGCTCGGTGGTTGCTTCTCCTCCACTTGGGGTTGGAAGCTAGGCCACCCTCCCCTGGAAGTCCTGTCCTCTTCTCCTTGCCCTACTCTGAGCATCTGACTCTTCCAGCAAAAATTCTGTTGGCTTTAAGGCCAAGGGCCAGTGGATGGCAGGGGAGTAGCACTGAGCTTGTGTTTTGCTGGTTTGCTTGGTGTTTTTGATCCGGAAGATAAGCTGGAAAGGGGTCCTTATGTTTCCATTTCCGTCCAAGGTCCAGGCTCGGTCCTGACTCTCCATGGGGCCATAAGCTGCCAAAGTAGGTCCCAGCCTGAGGTCCTGCAGTAGAGGCTGTACCTGGAGCCACAGTTGTTCCTGCTAGGCTGACAGTAGGGCATCATCTGGACCCAAGCAGAACAGGGTCATAAGGCCTGGGTTTGGTGTAGGGTACACTGCACCTCTAGGGTGCCAGAGGTGGGGCATGCCAGAGTTAATGATCGCCAACTCTGGCCCTCAGCACTCAGGTATGGAAACCCAGGACATCTCTCTGTCCAAGTGCCCAAGAACCCCTGGTACAAGGTAGGGAGGATGCTGGGTAAGTCATGGCCCTGGTAACCAAGAGTGACTCATCCCCACTGTACCCCCTTTGAGTTGATGTGCAGAGACCCCCTTTCTGGCCACACCTCTGTGAACCCCTATATTTTCTGGGGCCAGAAGGAATGCCCATGAACCTAGCCCGTCCTGTCTACCCTGTGTCCTCACTGTGTGTGGGTGCAACCTTGTCCAATAGCTGCTATGTCCCAGCTGAAACAGATGGCAGATAAAAGGGCCCCCCCCCCCTTAGACGCACTGGGATTTACAACACCTTCACCCTTGGTTCTCTTCCTGGAAAGCACTAGGCCCTTTGCCTCACCTGACTTGCTGTTGCTGTACCTACTCCCTCTCTTTGGGACACGTCAACAGAAAGAGCTGTGGCGCTGGGATGAGGAAGGAGTGATGGCCTAGTGGATAACTGTCTTGCTTGCCCAGGGCATAGACCCAGAGCTGTCTTTATTTCCTAAATGGTTTGTCTGTAAACTTGCCCACATGGACACTGTATTCCTGCTACTGTCCCGCTCTTGGTCGCGCACTGCCACTGCATGGCCTCCTGTCACTGTGAATCGTGGCCTGGTCTCAGTTTGTAGTTTCTCATTAAATTGGCCCTTTCACTCCCCTGCCCTGGACCTCTCTGCTCTTGCCTGGTTTCCTTCTTTTCTGAGGGAGGGGGGCGGAGGCTACAGGTAGTGAGGAGGCAGGTAGGGGGTTGAGCCCAACTGCTTTGGGGAAACATTATGTAGACCTGCCCTGGGAACCCAGCTGTGACTAGGCCAGGGCAGAAACTGCCTTTGACAGTTTGAAAGTCACCTTTCTTTCTGATGCTGGCACCTTGGCATTCACCCTTGGGACCTGCAAATTGGAGTCTACCCATCCCAAGCTTGGGCTTGATGTCATCCTGCTCTGTAGCTCTTTTTCACTTGAGATAGAGCCACTGGGTTGAGACTAATGGTCTATAGGTTAGTAGGGTACAGCCTGAGCATCCAAATTCTGGAATAGCTCTGGCCTTGGCCTGTTAAATGTGAAGGTGGTAAGTTTCAGTCCGTAGTTTAAAAAGACTTTCACCACCATATAATCCTTTTTTAAATAAAACTTTTTACAAGTGGTAGATTCCTACTAATAAAAATATTTAACCTCACACTTATATTTAAGAGACAATGAATTGTTTTTATGTTTTTTTAAAGTAGGAAACCTTCAAAGTGTTTGAGTTAAAAAATTACAGGTCCAGATAACCATTAGGATTATCTGTGATAAAAGTGGTCAAGAGAGAATGTCTTGGGGAATGGGTGCTAGGAGATGACCAACAGTGTCAGAGAAGTACATGAGGTCAGGAGAAGAATATAGTAGGTTTTCAGGACAAGAATGTCCACGTCCCCATATGGATACAATACCTATTTCCCAGTGGGTTATTAGGGTCTAGGAAATAGTTTTAGTGACCCCGTGCCAAGAAGGAAGAAACATACAGAGTGCATTTTATTGAATGCTATAGCATTTACACAGACCAGGGGAGGGAACAGCCCAGGCTTGCAAATCTTTGAGAGCTCTTGACTGAGAAGGAGCTCCCAGGGCCTCTGAGGTGGATAGGATCCTGGTTTCAGCCCACCCTCACCCCCAAGTCCCCAAGAGAAGCCAAGAAGTTGAGCAACACTGTTTAACCCCTCAACCCCACAGAACTCAGGCATACTGACTACTAGGGCTTACTCCCAACAGGGCAAGGACATATTTTCCCAAGTACTGTGAAGATAGAGAATGAAGGGAACACACCTAGGGCTCAGGGTGCAGAAGCCATGAAGCAGAGGTGGTTCTGGGTTTGCCCTACTGTGCCAGCTGCTGCCAGGGTGATATCCTGTATACTTGGTGTGCATCTGGCCTACAGAGAAGACGCTGTCAGGCAGAGCTAGCATCTAGCTTTTATTGGTTGCTTATTTTCTCAAACCCAGCATTTAAAAAAAGTCACCTGAGGCGGTAGTTTAGTGGGGTAGAATGGGGTAGGACAGAGGTCACTTGGGAGGACTCCAGCATGGCATGATGGGTCCTTCACATGTAGTACCAGGCCAAGAGTCCAGCAGCCAGGGCCACACCAGCAGCCAGAATGAACTGGAGACTGGGCTTCCTCAGCACAGTCATGGCTGTCCGGAAGGGGCAGCTGCTGCCCTCCAGGGCACCTGCATGTAGTGCAACAGGAGACAGGGCATCAGTGGGGGCCACTGACATGCCTGTCCCAGGAGGGAAGCATGGAATCCACAACCTACCTTTGTCTTGCTGAGCAGCATAGAAGGGGCATTTACGTACATCTCCCTTTCCGTCGTGCCCAGGGAGCCCATCCTCCAGGGTCTCTCTGGCCAAAGCAGAGCCAGCCTGGTCCAGTTCATTGAATATCTGAGGAGCACAGATAAACTGAGCCATCTTGGACTGTGCAGACTTTGCTTTTGGAGCTGATTTCCTCCCCACCTACCCCATCCCAAATGGAGGTGGAGCAGGTGCACTTACTCAGCAGTGCCAACTAGATAATCTAGCAGCCCCGGTAGGTGGCAATACTACTGTACTTCTCCCTAATGGGAATCTGGGAAGTGTGGCCACATTTGCTGGTGGCACCCCAAGGCCGCCAATCATGATGGGTCTTCCCTGGGCACTGATCAAAACATACCCCATGCCACCTGCCCCTGAGGACACTGAACAGCGAAACTACCAGGCCACCAGTACTTCCCCATTTCTAGCTGCTAGTCATTTTTTAGCAAGGAACAGCAAAATGGAAATGAGAAAAGCCCACAGTAGGACAGACCCATCCTGGGAGTCCACAGTAGAGGGCTTCTGGGGACTGTTCAGCCTGGCTGATACTGAGGAATGACCACCTGTGGCTGGGGGCAGAATTAATCCTCAAGAGCTCAGCCCTAACCAAAGGCTACTTGTAAATAGTTATTCCCCTTCTTGATCCTTGGTGATAATCTGTCTCGAGCTGAATTTATCAAGCAAGACTTTTCATAGCAGTCCTTGCTAAAAAAGAAGGAAATTATCTATTCCTCAATTCTGGCATTGGCATCCTATGGTGAGATGGAAGAAGACAGCCCTACTGTTTCAACACCCTCTTCATGCTGGGGCCTTGCCCTTCCCAACACTTACCCACAAACCTCTACCAAGCCAGGTCTCCATGCCAGAAGCTATCCACTGGGCCCATGCCCTTTGGTGACCAGTTTGGTTCCATTGCCTCTCTCCAGGGAAGATACTACAGTCTATCCTCTTGCCACTGATGCCCTCCCAGGAAGCACTGAATTTGCCCCCACTATCTAAGTGTAACCTATGCACCCAGTAGTACCTGCATGTTGTACTCAAAGGCCTTGTTGGCCTCCTCCACAATCCTCTCTTTGGTCTTCAAATTCAGGTCCAGGGCATTCATCCTGGACCGGTAGAACTGTTTGAACTGCTGGGCATTGTCCACATGCTCAAACAGGTAGAACTGGGTCCCTTCCCCTGTGCTGGGGAGTTTCAGTGCCCGCTGGGCCACCTTCTTCAGCACCTGGCCTCCTGAGAGGTCCCCCATGTAGCGGGTGTATGCATGGGCCACCAACAGCTCTGGCTCATTCTGCCCTATATAGTGGATCCGCTCTACATACTTCTGGGCAGCCTCAGAGCATTTCACCAGCTCCTCCCAGTTTTCACCAAAGAAGTACTCCATGTCCTTGGTCAGTGCCTCCTTCCGGTGCAGCTCCGTGGGGAAGTACAAGGGGGCAAAGGCTGGGTGGTCCTTATTGCGGTCCATTTCCTCCTCAAGGGCTGAGTATGTGAAGTAAAGTGCAGTTGTAGCCAGCTGTGGGGGTGACAGGAGACCACAGGAAAAAACTGCAGGCCAAACTGGCAACTCCCAAAGCAACACCCCTTTCTAGTCCCAACACCCAAATGTGACCTATTTTTATACAGTGAATTAGTTAATACACCCAGGAAGCTTTTGTGTTTCTAAAAGGAAAAATATGGTGAAGTCTTTGAAACACATACTTTTTGCTTCCTTTACATTACTATGTTATTCCATTTAAGCCAGGAAAACCACAGCTTAACACTAAGAAAGACTGAACATGGAAAAAGACCCAGGTATTCCCTCACACTAGTTCTGAGGGCACTCAAACCCATCCCCATAGGAAAGTCTGGAACCCAATCTTATTTGACTGAGGGCACAAACCTTAAACAGCTCCTTCTTAATGTTGCCTTTCAAGAAATCCTTGACAAACTGGGTGTTTTCTGCCCGGTCATGTGCTTCCTTGGTCCCTTCCTTGAGAAGCTCAGAGAGGTCAGCCATTCTGCAGAGATCAGATGTGTGTGTGAGAGCCCTTCCTAATTCCCCAGAAAAGATCACAGAAAAAAGTCCAGATCCCAGGGCAACTACTTGCTGAACTGTAGGCAGAGGCTGCTCCAACACTTCTGCATAAACAGCAGGGGTCACAGGGCAAGCAGACAGTCTGCTCAGGAAACATATAGGTAGACTGTGGCCTCCACAAGACTCTAGGTCTAAGTGTCTTATGCTAGGAACCACCCAAATGAATGACGTTTTGATTCTGTGGCCACCTAGTGTCCAAAGAAATTCACACCTCTTATCCCACCAGTTTGCTGGCTTCTCCAAGAACATGCTCCCCTGTGGAAATATGGATCTTCTGAGGCAGCCCTGCTGCCTTCCTACCACCATGTGTCCAGTCTCTTTAGGACTATATGTGGCTCCATGCATAGGAGGATGAGATGGAAACAACTGAGAGGCTGGGGCCAAGTGCTTGGATTTGTGTTTCTTAACAAAATCACACAGGAAAACCAGACACAGTGGCACATGCCTATAAGTCCAGCTCCTTGGGAGGCTAAGGCAGGAGAATCAAGTTTGAGGCAGCCCAGGCAACTTCGAAAAACCTTGTCTCAAAATAAAAAAGGGGACTGGGGATATAACTCAGTTGGTAAAGTGCTTGCCTAGCATGTGCAAGACGACCATGGGTTTAATCCCCAGCACCACAAAAAAAAAAAAAAAAAGATAGATAGATAGCAGCAGAGGACAAGGGATATAGTCCAGTGGTAAATACTTGTCTAGTAATTGAGAGGCTCTGGGTTCAATCCGGAGCACCACATACACATACATACAAATCACATAGTAGAAATTGTGCTGATAGATGACAAGGTAGAAAATATGACCATAAAGATGATGGCATCTGGGCAGGGCTCACATATTCATGTATTAGAGTGAGAAAAACTTGGCCTGGGGGCTGGGATTGTGGCTCAGTGGTAGAGCGCTTGCCTACCACTTGTGAGGCACTGGGTTTGATTCTCAGCACCACATTAAAGGTCCATCAACATCTTAAAAACAAAAAACAAACAAAAAGAAAAACTTGGCCTTACAATTTCAAAGCCAGCCCCAGCAACTTAGCAACTTAGCAACTAAAGCAACTTAGACTCGTTCTCTAAATAAAATACAAAAAAGGGCTGGGGATGTGACTAAATGGTTAAGCACCCCTGGGTTAAATTCCTGGATCCAAAAAGGGTGGGGATGGGCTGGGGATGTAGTTCAGTAGTAGGGTGCTTTCCTAACCTGTGAGGCCCTGGGTTCAATGCCTAATACTGGAGGGTTGGGGGAGCCAATGACAAGGCTCATCAGGGCTCTAACAAAGGGCTAAGAACAGTAAAGAGCAGAGCCCAGTAATTTAAGGCTCAGAAAGAACTTGTCCTAACAATAAGAAAAACCCTGCCTTAAAGAACAGTTAAGAGGTTCAAGTCCTAGGAGAGGAATACAAGTTCAGTAGAGTAGGCAAAGGGGACTGGAAACAGAAATGAATGTAACATAACTTTCCTAGGTACACACATGAATACTCACCACAGTGAATCTCACCATTATGTATATCCATAATTAATTAATTAAAAAAAACTATGGGTAAATGACAGAAAAATCAATAGAGGAAAAAAGTAAAGGGTGGGGAGAAACGAGAAGGAGAGGTACTGGGGTCAGAATTAGAACAAGCTATATTCCATGCTTGTAGAACTATAGTCAAAATGGATTCTAATGTCATGTATAACTAAAAAGAACCAATGGAGGCAGGGGTTGTGGCTCAATGGTACAGTGCTCACCTAGCACATGAAACACCAGGTTTGATCCTCAGCACCACATTAAAAAATGAAATAAAG